TGTGTGAGGGTTTCAAGGAGTAACGGGAGGATCCGCTTTTTTAAGGTGCAGATGTGGCCATTGGGGGTATGCCAGAGGCCAGACTCCGGACACTACTTGTTGGCTGTTTTTTTTAACAGGGACAGGGGTTTAGTAGATGGGGGGAATGGGATTTAGTAGATGAGGGGGGGGACTGTGATTTAGTAGACAAGGGGGGCTGGAGTTTAGTAGACGTGGGGGGCTGGGGTTTTTGATTTTTTTTTGCCAATCTTTCTTTTTATTTCAGTTTTGAAAATTAACATTGACAACAATCTCAGCAGGAAAGCATTGTAACCAAGTTTGTCATAGTACGCACGACATTTGTTACTGATTTATGACAAGCGATTTAACATTAAAACATGTAAACGAGTCCTATCTATTTATGTATAAGTTGGTAGACCTTAAATGAGCACGTGACCCTAGTTCGTCTCAGTGGCCTCCCAATTTTGTCGTACTAGGATTGCACTTTAGCGCTGTAGATAAGTGTGTGCCTACCTCCTTTTTTAGCTCATTTCTTCCGGTCCTTGCATCTTACCTAACTGTACTCCGGTAGGTGGTCTGAGGTTGGAATTTCCCTTCATGTATGCATGACTTTATTAGGATGACAGCCCATGGTGTCGCTGAGATTGTAATCCTTGTGAGTTGTCCCTAATCTATGTTTGTGTGTGCCCTACCATTTTAGGGATTCCGTCGTATTATGGCCTTTTCTCACTTTGTCTGGTCCATTGCAAGGTGTTAGGTGTCAGTCGTATTCAGGGCCGTTGCGTCGGCGGGCATTTTGCTGGGTCTCAGTGTCCCGTGACCTAATATGCCTCCTTGTCGTAGCTCTATTGCCCCTCTTTTCTGGCTAGGTTGTAGTCTCTGTCCTGCCCGATCTCTGTTTCTTTGTCTTTAACCCTTCAGGATCTGCATCTCGAGTGGTCTGTGTCGGATCTGGTGTGTATTTTCTGTGTATGACGGTTAGGGAGAGATTAGAAGAAAGCGAGTGTGTGAGTGTATCCAGGGGGGCTGGGGTTTAGTAGAGGGGGTGAAAATTTACGTTTGTTTGTTTGCAGCCCACATAAACTTAAATAAATATTACCAATCCCTGACTCCTCCCAGAAAAGCTGAACATTTAGGTACAATTTACTGCATCGTACCCAATTCTGAACTCTGCCAGATGTGGTGACCGGAATTCAGTACTGTTTACTTACAGAGTTTGTTTAGAAACAACGATTCCATGATCTCTGATTGGTTAGAACTCAGCAATATGTCAGCTGTGGTGTAACAATACAAGTCAAAACCATCTATAGATAATATGTCAACTGTCATTTTTAGCAGACAAAGATAAAGACTACTACCTGACAATATAGTCTATTTATATGTAAACAAAGGGAAATCAACCATTAAATCATTACTACTTTTATATATAATGCCAACATTTTCCACAGCAACGAACAATTTATAAGGTTGAACTAAAATAGTACAAAATATAATTTAAAAATATTGGTATACTGTAACAATGATTGTGAGCTTAAAATATAACATGTGTAGCACAATTTGTAGATTGAGATGGCCCATGAGTTTACAATCTAAAATAAATATTGGAAAATGAGGCACAATGTACCAGATAGGAAGTACCATCAGTAAGATATTAAAGGCAGGAAGATATTATACGTGGACACAATTAACAGTCACCAACTGTCAAATAGTCCTCATGGTAGAATATCACTAAGATGTTATAGATACAGTCACTGTCTGCCAGTCGTTATGATGCACTATTACATAGTTACATAGCTAAAGAGACTTGCGTCCATCAAGTTCAGCCTTCCTCACATATGTTTTTTCTGTTGATCCAAAAGAAGGCAAAAAACCTAGTCTGAAGCGCTTCCAATTTTGCGACAAACTAGGAAAAAATTCCTTCGCCACCCGAAAATAGCAGTCAGGTGTCTCCTTGGATCAAGCAGCTATTACCCCACTAATTAGAAATGATATCCCTGTATGTTATGTTTTTGCAAGTATTTATCCAATTGCAGTTTAACCCCTTCCCGACCCAGGACGGTTCAGGACCGTCATCGGCATTTTCCCATTGCCGACCGATGACGGTCCTGAACCGTCCTAACGGTCAGAGGTACTTACCTGATCGCCGTCGTTCCCCCGGCGGCGATCAGCGTGGCTCCGGTTGTGGGGAGACTGCCTGCAGCCCAGACAGTCTCCCCACACTGAATTAGGACCCCTGTGGCCATGTGATCGCTTAACACAGCGATCACATGGTCACAATAGGTGTCCATGTGTCTGCCTGCAGGGGGACTGCCTGTGCTGACAGGCAGTCTCCCTGCTAGTGTAAAATCATTTAAAAAAATAAAGTTAGTGTTAATTAAAAAAAAATAATAATAATTATATGTGTATATATGATATATAGACATATATTATATGTATATAATATGTCTATATATCATATATATATATAATGCCATACTAAGTGTATTTTTATATTAATATGTACTTATATTAATATAAAAATACACTTATAATTAAATTACACACGTATATATATAATATATATAATAACTATATATATTGTATATATATATTATAAAATATAAATAATAAGTAATTTAAATTAAATAATTTTTTTTTAAAATAATAATAAAAAAATGTAAAAAAATTATATAGCTATATGAAATTTTATTCTAAGTGTATTTTAAAATGAATATATATATATTTATATCAAAATACACTTAGAATGAATTTGTATATATATCTATGTATATAAAAATAAATAAAAATAATAAGAAATATACATATGTCCATATACAAAATTACATAAATAATTATATAAATATACACGTAGACTTCAAATATATAAATATGCATATGTATTTAAATTCTACGTGCGTATTTATGTAATATTTTTACATAATTAAGTAATTTTATTGATTGCAATTTGAGGGACCTGCCTGCCAACCCAGGCCGAAAGTCCAGAGAATTTAATTTGCTAGCACTGTATTTTACCCTGTAACGTTCTACTGACACCCTAAAACCTGTACATGGGGGTACTGTTTTCGGAGACTTCGCTGAACACAAATATTAGTGATTCAAAAGCAGTAAAACATATCACAGCGATGATATTGTCAGTGAAAGTTACTTTTTGCATTTTTCACACACAAACAGCACTTTTACTGATGATATAATTGTTGTGATACGTTTTCCAGTTTTTAAACATTTTTGAAAGTTACAAGGTCAAATATATGGGTCAAATATTTTTACATTGAAAATGGCCAGGTTGGTTACGTTGCCTTTGAGAGCGTATGGTAGCCCAGGAATGAGAATTACCCCCATGATGGCATACCATTTGCAAAAGACAACCCAAGGTATTGCAAATGGGGTATGTCCAGTCTTTTTTAGTAACCACTTGGTCACAAACACTGGCCAAAATTAGCGTTCAATTTAGTTTTTTTACTTTTTTCACACACACAAACAAATATGAATGCTTACTTTGGCCAGTGCTTTCGACTAAGTGGCTACTAAAAAAGACTGGACATACCCCATATTGAATACCCTGGGTTGTCTACTTTAAAAAAAATATGTACATGTGGGGTGTTATTCAGAGATTTATGACAGATAATAGTGTTACAATGTCACTATTGATAAATTTTAAAATGTATGTTTTGAAACCGCAATATCCTACTTGTACCTATAGCCCTATAACATGCAAAAAAAAGCAAAAAAGCACGTAAACACTAGGTATTTTAAACTCAGGACAAAATTTTGAATCTATTTAGCAGTTTTTTTCATTCGCTTTTGTAGATGAGTAAAAGATTTTTCAAGTAAAAGTCAAAAAACATGTATTTTTTTCAATTTTTCATCAGATTTTTGTATTTTTTAAAATTAAAATACATGAGATTATATAAATAATGGTATGTAAAGAAAGCCCCTTTTGTCCTGAAAAAAACAATATATAATTTGTATGGGAACAGTAAATGAGAAAGCTGAAAATTACAGCCAAACACAAACACCACAAAAGTGTAAAAATATGCCTGGTCGCAAATGTACAACATCGCAAAAACAGTCCAGTCCTTAAGGGGTTAAACATCTGTAATGGCTCTGACAAAACCAACTCTTCAGGCAGAGAATTCCATATCCTTATTGTTCTTAGTAAAATATTAAATATAAAAATTACTGTTAGTCACACTCTGCATGTCTTAAATTAGGCTTTGAAAAGTCCTCTATAGGCACAGAAACACAATAAATCATATTTCCACGTGTATTCCAGATTTTCCACCTTGACATGCAAATAAGCACAGACAGGAATTGTCTTACAGACTTCACTCTACAATTCCATACACCCAAACAATGGCGCCCGTAGATAGTGGAGCAGGCTATTGATGGTCTGCCTTAAGAACTGGCATGTCATTCATGCCATGATGCCTGTCAGTCATCCAGGCAAAACTCCTGAGGGCAGGAAATGTTTCAGTGCTCTCTGCAGCATCGCAGTGCCTGTAGTATGGCATGAGCGAGTATAATGATTCATTGAGATGAAATGGTCTGGGTGCTTTGTGTCCCTTTAAGATGTTAAAGCAGGTATCAGTATCAGTATCAGTATGTGCATATATACAATGTAGATGAGCATTCGTGTATCCCCAGCCTACTACCATGTCTTTTATAGAGAGCCAAGCAGATTGCTGAGACACTGCTGGTATACTCTAAATGAAAAGGAAAGAAACATATCTGACCATTTTTCTAAACAAATCTAGAAATACAATTTTTGTAATTTCCTAAATAAACTGTGCAAATAAAATGCATCAATTTACTAAATAAAACCATGTAATGTTGGCTCTGCTGTTTATTAGATGATTACATGTGCATTTTGTGAAAGTGTACTGTACATGACTTGGCAGTATGTGACGTATAAAGAGTGAGAACACATGGTGCATTGGTTGTCATAGTGACTGCTCCTTATACAGCTCATCACTCCTTGTAACCAAGGGAACCAGAGCTTCCGGTAACAGCTTCCTGAAACCATGGAGACGCCAGCTTCCCAAATTAAACATGGCGGATAAAGCGTCAGTATCCCCTGGCAACGGGAGCTTGTGAGTGACCGCCTGTCATGGAGGGCAGCGACGATCTCTCCTCGCATTACTCGGTGTTTGAGGGCTCCTCCGAGCAGGACGTGATGTCCTGTAAGATATTCTGGAACTCGGTGAGCTTGCAGCCGCCGCTGGAGTCCAGGCTGGTGACGGGAGACATGGACCAGCGACTGAGGGCGGCCGCCAGCCCCCGACTGCGTGAGTAACACGGGCTGCCAGGCTATGGGGCGTGGTCAGAGAACCCGTAATCTGCATGTCCCCGCCTCCCCCGACTGCGTGAGTAACACGGGCTGCCAGGCTAGGGGGCGTGGTCAGAGAACCCGTAATCTGCATGTCCCCGCCCCCCGACTGCGTGACTAACACGGGCTGCCAGGCTAGAGGGCGTGGTCAAAGTACCCGTAATCTGCATGTCCCCGCCCCCCGACTGCGTGAGTAACACGGGCTGCCAGGCTAGGGGGTGTGGTCAGAGTACCCGTAATCTGCATGTCCCCGCCTCCCGACTGCGTGAGTAACACGGGCTGCCAGGCTAGGGGCGTGGTCAGAGTACCAATAGCTCCACCCACTCTGACATGTAATCTGAATGTCCCCGCCCATCTCTCTCTCTCTCTCTCTCTCTCTCTCTCTCTCTCTCTCTCTCTCTCTCTCTCTCTCTCTCTCTCTCTCTCTCTCTCTCTCTCTCTCTCTCTCTCTCTCTCTCTCTCTCTCTCTCTCATAATATCAGATAACAGGGTAACACGTGGGGCTGGTGTGCACATTGTGCTGATACATTCTATGTGTTAGGAGTAGTGAAGCATCATGGGAGATGTAGTTTTGCACATCCCTGATTTAGATTAGTTTAGCTTTCTAGTCTGCCAACACCATAAATCATTGTCTGTAGTGATTCACATGGACTGTCTCCACAAACACCAGAGTGTGTGTATTGTGTTATAGAGAGAGAGAGAGAGTGTGTATTGTGTTATAGAGAGAGAGAGAGAGAGAGTGTGTGTATTGTGTTATAGAGAGAGAGAGAGAGAGTGTGTGTATTGTGTTATAGAGAGAGAGAGTGTGTGTATTGTGTTATAGAGAGAGAGAGAGTGTGTATTGTGTTATATAGAGAGAGAGTGTGTGTATTGTGTTACAGAGTGTGTGTGTGTATTGTGTTATAGAGAGAGAGAGAGTGTGTATTGTGTTATAGAGAGAGAGAGAGAGAGTGTGTGTATTGTGTTATAGAGAGAGAGAGAGAGAGTGTGTGTATTGTGTTATAGAGAGAGAGAGTGTGTGTATTGTGTTATATATAGAGAGAGAGTGTGTGTATTGTGTTACAGAGAGAGTGTGTGTATTGTGTTATAGAGAGAGTGTGTGTATTGTGTTATAGAGAGAGATAGTGTGTGTATTGTGTTATAGAGAGAGAGTGTGTATTGTGTTATAGAGAGAGAGAGAGTGTGTGTATTGTGTTATATAGAGAGAGAGTGTGTATTGTGTTATAGAGAGAGAGAGTGTGTATTGTGTTATAGAGAGAGAGAGAGTGTGTGTATTGTGTTATAGAGAGAGAGAGTGTGTATTCTGTTATATAGAGAGAGAGTGTGTGTATTGTGTTATAGAGAGAGAGAGAGTGTGTATTGTGTTATAGAGAGAGAGAGAGTGTGTATTCTGTTATATAGAGAGAGAGTGTGTGTATTGTGTTACAGAGAGAGAGTGTGTATTGTGTTATAGAGAGAGTGTGTGTATTGTGTTATAGAGAGAGAGAGTGTGTGTATTGTGTTATAGAGAGAGAGAGAGAGTGTGTGTATTGTGTTATAGAGAGAGAGAGTGTGTATTGTGTTATAGAGAGAGAGAGAGTGTGTATTGTGTTATATATAGAGAGAGTGTGTGTATTGTGTTACAAGAGAGAGAGTGTATTGTGTTATAGAGAGAAAGAGAGAGAGAGTGTGTGTGTGTGTGTATTGTGTTAGAGAGAGAGAGAGAGAGTGTGTGTATTGTGTTATATAGATTGTTAGCAATGGATGGACTAAGATTTACTTGCAGAGGTTTGTTTCCATAGAAACCATCATGGCTAAGTGGAGTGAATGGCTGGTTCAGAGTCAACACGTCACATATGGCACCTCGTTATATATTCTCACCGCTGACCCAAGTCTGGCGGGAAAGCACAGATTATTATTAACCTGTCTCCTCCTATGGTAATACCACGGGAAAGGGAGCACTACATTACTAAAGGATTATACCAAGAACCATGACCACTTCAGTGATTGGAATTTGTCATGGTGTCTGGAGGCTGCACATCCGATGAGCTATCCCTTTAGCTGCTGAATGTGTAACTCCACCTCTAGCTGCGTCATTGGATTGTCATCATTCAGGACAGAACTAGAGTACCAGGCTGGCTAATGTCAATTCTGTGCAACTTTCCCTGCACAACATGTCAGCCATTATCAGCCACCGATAGGAGCATTTTCAAGCGAGAAGATGTAGCCAATAGAGGGTGAAAAAGGAGGAGCAGAAAAAAAATATAAATTTAGTAGGGAAGCCATCTTCCGTGACTGATATTTTCATCAGATAGCGGGACAGGCTAATTCTGCCCTTACAGTAGCTCCCCATTGAAAGGGAGTGAGAAGCATCTGTAATTTTCTCACTCTGTCTTATGAATCAATCGCGTTAGCAGGTCCAGGTCCAAGGTTTCCTGTTTGATACATCTCACTGCAACAGAAGTATCTGGGTAGAGCTAACCAGCTCCAGATTCCAGACTTTGGGGGTAAACTGTTTAATAACCTGGGGCTTCCTCAAACCATTACAAATGCATTCTAGAGAAATGGATATGGTACCCGGAGAGTTTTTTTTTTTTTTTTTTTTTTAAGGGGTTAATGAAACTGTTGTGTGCACATCAAAAATATAGCAAACACAGGCTTCTTGTTCGTATAGTATCGATTGCCATTCTGATGTTGTGCAGTCATATACAGCAACAGTTTGCAGCTCATACTGAAATGTGCTTACCCAGTGCACTGCCTGGTTTAATGCACTAAACCATGTGTTCTGGATTTCTCCAGCCCTGGCTGGGCTATTAATCCATTATATGCTAAATTAAAAATGCCCAGAGCTCACAAAATAATGGTTAGGCTCAAAAAGCCTTGTCAGGAATACACGATTTAAAAAAATCAATGTAAATCAGCTTTTGAGAATTGATCTCATATAATTAATTTCTTTAGCATGCCATCTACAAATGTGCACTAAAACAACATTACCACACTCTTTACTTTTAGGAATTAATTTCCTCACTCATTTGTTAAACGCTAAACACAAATTGCCTTTATAGAACTCGGCTTTGCAAAGCAGAACAAAAGATACAATTCTTACTTTAAATTATTGGTCTTAATTGCCTACTATAATCATTGTACTTAATAATATTTGACTTGTTGACTTTAGAAAAAATAGTTAGATGTTGATACTATTGGAAATCTTCCAAGTGTTGATTCATCCGTATTGTCTGTTTTTTTTGGTTGTTTTTTTAAAACATTTATTTAGTTATTATTTATTGATTTATTTAAATAAAGGAACACTGCAGTTATTGAGCCAAGAGTACCCTGGCACTCTCCTATAGTAGGTAGCAAAACTTGTTTAAGAACCGTTAAAAACTTACCTGAGGGCCACTGGGCATGTGAATTGGTGACAGCATCCATCTTTACTTAACTAAACCCTGCTGTTCAAGGCTGGTTCATGGTTGACAATGTTCTTAAAGGGACACTATAGTCTCCTGAACAACTTTAGCTTAATTAAGCCGTTTTGGTGTATAGAACATGCCCCTGCAGCCTCACTGCTCAATCCTCTTCTATTTAGGAGTTAAATGCCTTTGTTTATGAACCCTAGTCACACCTCCCTGCATGTGACTTGCACAGCCTTCCATAAACACTTCCTGTAAAGAGAGCCCTATTTAGGCTTTCTTTATTGCAAGTTCTGTTTAATTTAGATTTTCTTATCCCCTGCTATGTTAATAATCCTGTTTGTGATTAAAGTTCAATTTAGAGATTCAGATCCAATTATTTAAGGTAAATTACATCTGTTTGATGTGATTTAACTCCTAAATGACAGTGAATAGAGCAGTGAAATTGCAGGGGAATGATCTATACACTAAAACTGCTTTATTTAGCTAAAGTAATTTAGGTGACTATAGTGTTCCTTTAAATGGTACAACTGCTTATTGTTGGAGTTTGCCAGGGTGCAGGCATGGCAGTACACCACTCATGTGGCCCTGAAGATGTTCATGAAGGAAACTATGGAGGAGTGAGAACTTCAGGTAAGTATATCTTCTTCCCCAAATTCCCCTGTGAAGCCACTAGGCAACTATTTGCAAAAACTGCAAAGACACCTCAACTGACAGTCACTTGAACCCAACTTGTAGCTTTTATCATAGAAAGACATGATGCATCTATAATTTTTGATGGCACCTCAATTATTCTGGAGCTAGGAGAGATTATATCTATATGTATTAATACAAAAATTGCACAAAGAAGTAGGCACCAAAAGATAGCTAAGTTCTTACAGATTAGAAAAATGTTTTTATTTGGGGGTTGTTAGTGATACAGACTCCATTAAAAATAACCATTTTGAGTATTTTAAATGTTTTGTTGCAATAATCAATATAAAAGTTCATTTCTGTTTTGGTCTCTAGAGAAGAATTATGCACACGAGCTTCCCATTGAAGATATCCGTAAGTATTACCCTTTTTCTTTTCTTTTTTTTTACTTTTCTCATCTTTGATTTTTGGCAAAGGGTGCTAAATCCAGATTCCTTCTATTTGAATGTCAGATCTGCATCTTGGTATTGTCACAGACAATTTTGACACTATATTGACCAATGTTTTGGCAAGACTTTGAGAATGAACCAGATATTGCATTTTCAGACAAGTATCCACAATGATCACTCATAGTCAACATTTTATCAAATGCTCACTGAAACAAAAAAAATATTATATCTGAATTCTACACTCTGCAAACTTAGTGAACCCTTCCATGATGTTAATTACCACTGTGATGAAACTCCTATACTCCAATTGAATACCTTTCCATCTTCCTCACTACTATCAGGGGACTCTGGAACACTACAGATTCAGTCGCCAAAGCTTGACTGGAGTCTTTGAGGACCTCATTGGATATGGCTTCTGTGAATATAGCTCTGGAGACCCTCTCTCCTGATAAGTAGTGATTATAGCTTCACCACAGCTTTTCCCTTACACATTAGACGTGTCTGAATGTAGGGGATAGAATAATCTTTATTCCACAGAACTATTTATGCACAGCATGCTCTTTCATTTAAAGCAATGTACAATACAGTTGTCCCTTCCTGGAGCCACTTTGTCTGGGAACTTAATTACATTATCCCCAGCTAACACAAGTCGCTCCCTTCTGTGTCCTTAAAGTCCTAGAGGCACAACATACAAGAAGTCCACCAGTACCGCTTTCTCTGTAACGTACCGCCACACAATATATATTCTTGGAAAGCTCCTCACCACATGCCCTCGCTGTCCAAATATCGCCCTGATCAGAGAAGCCGCACCAGAGTAGTAGTAGTGTTTAAAATTTTACTAGGTCGTGGATACTTTTTGAACCGACGAGAAGTTCCAGGCATACGGCGGTTTAGTCCTAGTTTCACAGAAAGGGTTCCCAGACCTCTGGGGAAGAAAGCACTCTCAAGCCCAAGGTATCCTCTCATCCCTCCCACCCTCCCTTCCAATACCCGCTTAAAGATCAATCAGACCTCGACACAGTCCCAATCCAGTGAACAGCTACTGAGTGTTTCATGGTATCTCCTGGGAAGGCGCTCAATGTATAAAATGAGTCCAGGTGATCCCCAGATGTACTAGAGTCCGGCTGGGAGGCGCAGTAAGCATCCAGGGCCCCAATATTCCTCTGCACAGTGACAGGGGCTCTTGGGGCCAGGCCCATAGTCTGTGGTCAGGAGGCTGGCCTTTAAACCTCTCCAAAAGTCTTTGGCACGGAAGCTTCCATCACTGCCACCATCGTCAATGTTGAATTTTTTTTTCATTTATTTACCTTGATGTCACTCTTGTGATTTAACTTGCTATAAAATCCACGGCAATTGTCGGTGACTACTAAACCTTCACGTTGCACATGAAAAAGAGAAGAGAAAGGACCATGCATTGGTTTTTCGGCTAGAGGGCAACCCCTCTGGTCTTTTCACTTAACAAGATTCTCCAGAATCTCCACTGATGTCTGTAAGGGCTTTGGGGAACTCAAGGATGCTGTAGCAGATTGCCCTTATGTTATACCAAAAATACAGCCTATTTTGAACAAATATCCAGAGATTTGCTGTTGGATTTTTTTTTTTTTTGAACACCCTAGTTCAGGCATAGGAAACCTTCGGCACTCCAGATGTTTTGGACTACACCTTCCATGATGCTTTGCCAGCATTACAGGTGTAAGAGCATTATGGGGGATGTAGTACACAACATCTGGAGTGCCGAAGGTTGCCTATCCCTGCCCTAGTTAATAATTGTCGACATTTATTAACTTTAGAAGGAGGTTGTTCTGATAACATTTATTTTCTACTATCATTGAATTCTTACAGATTATATCACTTAAACCTATACAAAATTTTATTTTGCAGAGACTGAACAACTCCTATATAAAGCCCAAAAAGAAGAATATCTGGAGCAAAAGGCTATTTATCTAGAAAGGGTAACATATTATATTACATTCTGTCTTACTTTTACATTACACGTCATATAATTTTTTTGCTTTTGTTTTTAAAAAAAAATAGATTCTTTTTTATATATTGTGATATTGCCTTGTCATATTGTCCTTTGTCCAAATAACTTGATTCACTACATGTTTCCCTCTATACATTTTGCCCATTTCATATCCACATTGTATGGTTCTACCCAACTTTGCAGCCACCATCTGTAACTCCAACTATCTCTGTGGCTGTTTCTGGACATCCACCCCACCTTATTCCCTGTTCGTTGTGTGCAGTGCTAAGGAAAGTATTGCAAGAACAATTTTTTTCAGTTTCTGGAAACACACACATATATATATATATATATATATATATATATATATATATATATATATATATATATATATATATATATATATATATATATATATATATAAATAATTTATTTTTTATATACTATGTGAATTAACAGAACATTAAATATTTGAAAGAACCAGCCAGCATGGCTTGTTGTTCAGTTTTCCTTTCTGTACAAAAAAAATCACTTTTCTGTTGCCACCAGCTGGTTAAAAGCTTTAATTATGTACAAAAAATATTTCACATGTTGAAAGATCTAATGGCCTGATTCATGTTATAATATATGTGGGGTCTAAGCTTTAATTACTAAATATACCCTACTTGTCTTCATGTGACTCTATAACATGGATGTGCTCTCATTATACGATGAAAAGGGATATTACTGAGGTAACGAAGCTCAGAGGAATATCAATAAGTCAGTAGTTTAACCGACTAGTTAGACAATCATATAAATACAGCTACCATGGCTGTCTTCCTGACAGCCACTAGAGACGCTTCTTCAGGGCCGATCACAGGCGCCTGGGTGCAGAATTTCTTTTTTTGGCACCCCCAGGTGGGTGTGGTCATCTTTCTAACCCCTCCCCTTTGCAACGACTTCACCTCTCCATCTAGACACACACTCACTGACAGTCACACACTCTCACTGAGAGACAAACACTGACAGAAACATACTCCGACAGAAACATTGACACACACTCTCAATGACAGATACACAATGTCACTGATTTGAAACATTCGCTAACAGACACAAATGCTGACAGACACATAGTGGTACACAAAACAAGGAAGTCCAGCATTCAGCGTTTTAAATCACAGCATACATAATTACATAATTACACACACACTGCCCCATGCATACCTAGACAGTCACACACAATACAACACACACACATTCACACTGTCATATGGACACTGTATCAGTCTCTCTCTCTCTCTCTCTCTCTCTCTCTCTCTCTCTCTCTCTCTCTCTCACAGTCCTTGCTGTCATGAACACTGGAAGGAGGAAAGAAGGCCATGGTCCCTAGTGTCTAGTGGGAGGCAGGTATTCCTTCCTGCTTACCCTCTGATTTAGACTTGGTGATGCCCTCTTAAACAATTATCTAAATAAACTCATTTGTATAAAAACAATGTTTAATGCAAAATTCTATGTAAAATAGTTTTCCTTATTTGAGATTGCTGTATATGTACAGTGATGTATGCACCCCACAAATTAATACACATACATATAAATCCACAGATCATATCTCATACATACTTAGACATGTGCACACTCACATACAGACACACACTGTCATATACAAAGACACATACCAATATACACAGTCACATATACACACAGACACACACTGTCACATACAGAGACACATAACAACATACATACATACCTACCAGGTTATTTACAAAAATGAGAATTGTCAGGAATTCATAGTGGATTTCAAAGTGGATGACAGAATAGTCAAACTGGAAGCATTGTATTCCTGACAATTATAACCTTGTCAGACATGAATTAACACACATCATCATGGAGACAGACACACCAAAAAACAGTCACAGACATACACGCATTAACACAATTACAAACATTCATAAAAGAAAACCACAGAGACACATACATTAAAAGACACACGAAGTCCCATACATAGACACACAACACACTCAGTCACATAGACATAGGCTTATGGATAGCAGGTTTGTTGGTAGGTTAATTAAATTGGTGTTCAGGTGTGTTTTGTGACATGGTAGGTATTTCTGGTATAACACCACCTACACTCTGCACCTCCTTTGCCAGGTACCTACTGGGGGGGTTTCTAGGGTTGGGAGGTTTTCATGGCTGCTATCTAAGTCATCTCCTGAGTCCTACCGTGTTCCAAGCTGTGACACTCTTCGCCGCAGCACCCCCCTCATTCTAGTGCTTGGTCACAAATTCCCACTCAAATTACCCTGGTGGTCCAGTGGTATCCTATATCCGTTCCCTGGCAGTCCGGTGGTGAATAGCAGGAAGCGCACGTCCTGTTGTTTCAGATCATAATACCCACTCCTTCGCTGCTCCGGCTTTTTTTGAGAATCTCTGAGCCTGTTCTCTGACTAACTAACTGAGCGCCGGAACCACGAGGGAGAGGATATGATTTAAATGCACCTACTGCCGGTGCGCACCAGTGGACCAGCAGGGAATTGTTTAAATGTAATATGCTGTCCCCAACTTGCAAGTTGTGTTGGCTGCCAGGCACCTCTGTCGTCATGGCGCAATGTGTGACCGCACAGCTGTCACACCTCAACAGCTGGTCCTGCTGTCAGACTGTCAGGGTACCTGTTGGTGATGTATCCAGGGAGGACATCCTCTCTGCTTAGGGGCTCCCTTCCCCTAGCATTTCGGCATATTCCGTCCGTTTTCGCGCCGGCCGCGCTAGCTCCTCCCCCTTTATGACGCGACGGCTAGCGTCGACGTCATGACGTCGGCATTTGCATAAAGTGCCGGGAACCGCTATTCCGGACCTTTTGGGGGCGTGGTCTCTATTTAGGTTACAGGGTATTTAAAGGAAACCTTTACTACTGCTCATTGCCCTGTCGTGGTTCTAGCTTGCTAGTCACTCAGCGCGTTCTTTATCTTGTGTTTCCGGTTTTGACCCTTGCTTGTCTTTTGTCCTGTTGTCCTCTCCTCTCCTTTGACTCGGCTTGTATCTCGCTTACCTGTCCTCCGGCTCCCTCGACCTCGGCTTACCTTTTGACTATTCTTGCTTTGTCCTTACGTTAGTCCGGCCATTCTAAGGTCCGGTATACGTACCTCCTTCTGTGCGCACTCTGCGTATTGGATCCCTGTCAGTTTCCTGACACAGACACACACAAACCCCGACAGACACACACACTCACTGACAGACCACCACTTACTTGACAGACACACTCGCTGACATACACTCAGTCACACTGACAGACACACTTAATGACAGACACACACACTCACTGACAGATACATTTACTGACAAACACACTCACTGACAGACACACTCGATGACACACACACACAAACACTGACAGACCCATACTCACACACACTGACAGTCAAACTGACAGAAACATTTACTGACAGGTACACACTTACTGGCTGACAGACACATACACTCACACACACTGACAGACACACACACTCACTGACAGATACATTTACTGACAAAAACACACACTTTCTAACTGACAGACATACACACACTCACTGACAGACACACACTTACAGACACACTCACAAACACTTACTGATAGACAAATACACACTTACACAGTCTTGCGCACACACTCACAAATTAATTGTATTGTTTGTTGCTCCTACCTTTAGGAGTCTTCTGGGTCCTTTCCCATTGATCTTCCTGCTTCTCTCTCCTCCCTCGCACTGTTTAGTGATGCTGGGTCGGAATTACGTCATATTCCATCTTCCGGCATCACCACAAAGAGAGCAGGAAGATCATCAGCACAGGCAGTGCTCCCTCGCCGCCGCCTGCCTCCTTCCTCACCTGGCCGGTATATTGCTGCAGAGTAGGCACCTGCCATCTGGGATAAGCAGGTGTCTACTCTGCCTTGCTAGATAACCGCCGTTCCAGGGGTGCCCTTAGGTGGCCAGCTGGCCACCTGTTGGCCTCCCCTTGACAGGCCATCGGTCTGCTCTGCGAGGCGCCCCCCATCTCCTGGCACCAGGGCGCAGTGCACCCCATACACCCGCTCACAATCGGCCCTGTGCTTCTTTCTCCAGTAAGGAGTGAAACATAGTCTTGCAATCTAATGCTGCTGATTGTAGCATTTCATTGGAGGAGCGCAGTGTTTTGCTGCATATGTGTTCTCCAATCCAGTGCTTTTCTATGACAAGTATTGGATTGGGCAATATCATGATATATGTCGGCTTGGATGCTGACATAGACCTAGATGGAGCAGGAGGCTGTAGCGGAGGAGTTTTGGCTCTGAAAACAAAATTAGTTTGCTTTATTTAACTTTTACTACGCAAAGGGGATGGACAGTGATAACGTCTCTATAAGGGAAGCTATAGTCCAGAAATAGTGATGTCCCGAACGGTTCGCAAACGGTTGAGTAAACTTTGACCCTGTACCTCACAGTCAGCAGACACATTCCAGCCAATCAGCAGCAGACCCTCCCTCCCAGACCCTCCCACCTCCTGGACAGCTCACTAAGAATGCAGCTTCACAATGAATGTAAAATGGATGCTGTCCAGGAGGTGGGAGGGTCTGGGAGGGAGGGTCTGCTGCTGTTTGGCTGGAATGTGTCTGCTGACTGTGAGGTACAGGGTCAAAGTTTACTCAATGATCCGTTCGTGGCGAACCGTTCAGGACATCACTATCCAGAAGTAATGATTGTTATTTTCGGGACTATAGGTTCCCTTTTAATACTAGACTGTTAAAAAATTGGTTTGGAGCATTTTGTCATTTGATTCGGGCAAACCACTCCAAACTAATTTTTGCACAAGTCTAATTCATGCTCTCAGAGTGTGGTCTTATGCCTGCGTGTTATGTTTATCTTGAGGAGGTTCCCTCAGTGTTTTTAGTCTCCTTTTGCCCCATCTAAAATCATTGAGTGACTGAGGACCATTTGACTCCTTTATATAAATATTGCTCCTACTCAATCTATATCAGTAGAGTACCAAATGCAACATTATGAGCATGTTGGCGGAGAGCAGAAACTATTTTGGCTTTCCCATTGTTTTTTCAAAAAGTAATTTGTACTTCTGCGCAACCATTGCATGTTGTTTGCAGCTGAATATGCACCATTTTTTATTTATTTGTCACAGAAAATATTTGAAGGGATACTTTAAGCACCAAAAGCTTAATGAAGCAGTTTTGGTGTATAGACCATGCCCCTGTAGTTTCACTGCTCAATTCTTTGCCATTTAGGAGTTAAATCACTTTTGTTTCTGTTTATATCTGTTTGTATCTCCTGCTCTGTTAACCCCTTAAGGACACAACGGAAATATTCCGTCATGATTCACTTTTATTCCAGAAGTTGTGTCCTTAAGGGGTTAATGGAAGTTTAATCGCACACGAGGTTCCTGTAGCATACTAACAGAGCAGGAGATCTGAAATTCTGAATTAAACAGACTGTACAAAAATACATTTAAAACTAGATCCCTCTTTAGAGGAAATATGTAGGGATCATAATGTATGCACAAAAACTGCTTTATTAAGCTAAAGTTGTTTTGGTGCTTATAATCTCCTTTAAATTGATATAATCTTCTGACAATTAATAGCACTATTGGCTAGTAGGAGGAAGTGAAGATGTTTGGTGAAACCATCCAAGACTGAGAGCTGTTTTGCTATAAAGCTGTACAATCATTTGTTGCATGTTAATTTGTGAGTATTTAATGTACGTCACTTCATAGAATACTAAAATGCTGTGGAAATCTTGCAGATTTCATATTTAATATTCAATGTTCAATTTCTAATGCAAAAGATGACAAACTTAAACTAGTGGTATGAATCCACGTTCATTTCACTGCGACTGTGAAGCACCTAGTTCCTTGCAATAGTTGTGCTTTATGTGTACATACTGTTGGTAAATCATATGAGTTTAATAACTTGTGTGTCTCACTTAAAACGGATTTCTACTTTTCCATTTAAAACACGGAATCCAAAAGTTGCATTAATTCCATAGCATCCCAGGATCCCATGCATTACCTTGCAAACAAGTGTGCTTTATGGAATTCATTTTAGTTTATTATTATTGTAGCGGAGATCTAGTATTCCACAGGATATCTCCGCTCAGGATCCCAGTGAGGCTCAGGAACAAGTAATTATAAATCCATAAAGCAAGGTTTCCAGCAGGTAAAACAATATAGCAATATCCCAACAGCAATCCCAATAACTGGACGACACACAGCATCAGGAGCAGAACCAAACCTTTATTTTCACAGTGGCCTTATAAAGCATGCTCTCATGCAAGGGAGGGATTTTCATTAATTAATACAGTATCCAATCCTGTTCTAGTAACCTCCCACACATCTCCTCCCTCAGCCTGACTCATAATCCCCTTATACTGTACACAAATTCCCCCAGTTTCTGGATGTACCCCTAAACCTAGGGGTACCCCTTTAAATGGCACATCCCCTGGTAGCCCTGATCTGGGTGAGCAACATATCCAAAAATCACCCAGATCGGACCAGGGGTTCGGGAAATTTGTGGAGGTAATAAAAAGACCGACCGCGCTGGAGAAAACCGCCGAATTGGGTTCCATGCGATGGGGCCCTGCGGTCGGTCACAGTATAAGGGAACAAATTGCACGAAAGGCTAAGGCTACAGAGATCAGGTAGGGTTCGCATGAATCCCCTCGTTCGGTGGTTTATTTCTACCAAACGAGGGGCCGTTCGGTAGTTTGGAAGCGAACGTATCGTGCGTATGGAGGTCTCAGCGGTGTTTGCCTAGTCGAGTGTCCGATTCGGGTTCCAGACACTCGACGGCAAAACACCGCTGTTCAGGAGTTTTAAAATGGCCGCCGCCACGTGTTCGTTTCCCGAATGGCGGCCATCCCGAGAACAAAGGACCTACCGCACAGCTTGTCAATTACCCATTCGCAACATTATTGCAACGGGTAATTGAAGGTACACTTCACACAGGGGAGGTCTGACTGTTTGGTAGTTTCATTCCCTTAGTTGTTCGAATGATTTTACCGAACAATCAGACGAATACACGTTATTTAGATACATATAATCCTGCAATTTACACGAATACATTCACACATATGCAATTTCCAGGACAGCCCAGTGCCATCCACTACAATTATTATTATTATTATTATTATTATTATGTTTATATAGCGCCAACAAATTCCGTAGCGCCTTACAGTGGGTGGACTAACAAACATGTAATTGTAACCAGACAAGTTGGACACACAGAAAATGAGGGGTTGAGGGCCCTGCTCAATGTGCTTGCATGCTAGAGGGAGTGGGGTAAAGTGACACAAAAGGTAAGGGAAGTACTAGGGAAGTAGATTGGTAGAATAGTATTCAATGAAGACTTAGTGTGGGGTTTTGGAGCCATTAACAGTTTAATTGATATGCTTTTGTGAAAAAAGTGAGTTTTTCGTGTGAGTCTCCTAGTGGAGACTAGGTGAGCAACTAACGGAAAATGAAGGGAGTTCCACAAGAACGGTGCAGCCCTAGAGAAGTCTTGAAGGCGAGGTGGGAGTACGAACAGAAAATAGATGCAGGTCTTCGGCAGAGCGTAGGGGCTGTGACGGGACATATTTGTGTATTAGAGAGGATAGATAGGCAGGAGTAGCATTATGTAGAGATTTGAAAAGCAAGAACCAAAAGTTTATATTGAGCCATATAACTTACAGGAAGCCAATGCAGGGACTGACAGAGGGATGAGGCGTGGGAGGTACGGGTGGACAGGAAGATGAGCCTCGCCGCCGCATTCATTATAGACTGCAGTGGAGCAAGTTGGAAACATGCAAGACCACTGAGAAGCGGATTGCAGTAGTCAAGGCGAGAGAGGATAGTGGCATGGACCAGCACCTTAGCCGCATCTGGCGTTAAGTAGGGGCGGATGCGCACAATGTTTTTAATATAGAAGCGGCAGGATTTAGTGATCGACTGGACATGAGGGGTGAAGGAGAGGACGGAGTCAAAGGCAGCGAGCCTGCATGGTGGAGCTGATGGTAGCACCATTAACGTGGAGGGAGAAATGGGGGTAGCAACACTTGAGGGAGTAAAGACCAGAAGTTCTGTTTTGGACAAGTTGAGCTTAAAGGGATTCTATATTGACAGGAAAATGCAGCCACTAGAGGCTGGATTAACCCTGCAATGTTAACATAGAAGTTTCTCTGAAACTGCTATGTTTTAAGCTGCAGGGTTAAAACTAGGGGACCTGTCACTCAGACCATTTAATTGAAGTGGTTTGGGTGCCTATAGTGGTCCTTTAAGGAAGTGGGCAGCCATCCAGTTTGAAATAGCAGAGAGACAGTCAGAGACACTAGTCAAGTGGGGCTGGGAGAGATCAGAGGAGGACAGATAGATTTGCGTGTCATCCGCATAGAAGTGATACTGGAAGCCAAAGGAGCTGATGAGTTTACCAAGGGAGGCAGTGTAGATCGAGAACAGTAGGGGATCAAGGACTGAACCTTGGGGGACACCAACAGAGAGAGGTTGGAAGGAAGAGGCAGAGCTGAGAAAGAGACACTAAAATAGCTCTGGGTTAGGTAGAAGGAGCATCAGGAGAGACCAATATCTCGTAGACCGAGATTGCGGAGGATGAAAAGAAGCTGTTTATGATCAACAGTATCAAAAGCAGCGGAAAGTTCAAAGAGAATTAGGATAGAGTAGTGACCGTGAGGTTTTCAGCGAGTAGATCATATGATACTTTGGTCAGAGCTGTTTCCACACAGTGCTGAACGCGGAAACCAGACTGAAGTGGGTCGAGCAGAGAATTGGACTCGAGGAAGTCTGTCACTATCTCATACACAAGTAGTCTTTCAAGGATCTTGGACGCAAAAGGCAGTAGCGAGATAGAGTAATAGTTGGACGGGGAGTTAGGGTCAAGGTTGGGCTTTTTTAGAATCCTGGTTACAGTTGCATATTTGAAGGGTAATGGAACTATGCCAGAGGAGAGGGAGGGATTGAGCAGTTTAGTGAGGCAAAGCAAGAGAAGGAGACAGAGTACGGATGAGATGTGAGGGAATAGGATCAAGGGAGCAGATGGTGGGGCTGGAGGACTGGAGCATATCAGAAACCTCTTCCGCTGTAGCGGGTGCGAATGAACATAGAACAGTAGAGGGAGTGAGGTTGGAGTAAATATTGTAAGGGGAAATAGAGAGATAAGAGATCTCTTCCCTGATTGCAGAGATCTTTTCAGTAAAGTAAGTTGCAAAGTTTGTGGTGGTTCAGTCTGTAGGAGGAGGAGGAGGAGGAGCATCTGGGTGAAGAAGAGTTAAAAGTGTGAAATAATCTTTTGGGTTGGAGGGAGAGTGTGGTTATGAGGGTATTGAAGTAATTTACTTTTGTAGAGGAAAGAGCCAAGCTGTAAGAGCACAGCATAAATGTATAGTGTAGAAAGTCAGATGTGGAGTGAGACTTTCTCCAGCAGCATTCAGCAGCTCTGGAGCCTTTTTGGAGGTATTGAGTCAGCTGGGTGTGCCAAGGTTGTAGTTGGGGACGCTTATTGCGTTTAAGTGTAGGAGGTGCCCTGATGTCTAGTTGAGAGGAGAGGGTGGAATTGTAGAAGGAGATTGCAGAGCTATGGCAGGTGATGTTTGGGGTAGGTAAAAGGAGAGTTTGGAGGTTAGTGAAGAAGTGCTCTAGGTTAAGACGGGTGGGGGGGGGGGACAGTAGACAATAGCAATCCTTAAAGGAGTGGGTCTAAATCGGCGGACAGTGTGAACTTCAAAGGAAGTAAAGGATAGGGCAGGGGCAAGGGAGATTGGTCGAAAGGTACATTGAGGGGAGAGAAGGATGCCTACACCACCTCCTTTACAGTTGGGTCTTGGAGTGTGGGAGAATTGTAGCCCACCAAAATATGAAGAGGCAGGAGTAGCACTATCAGAGGGGGAAAGCCAGGTCTCTGTGAGTGCTAGTAGTGTGAGTGAGTTTGAGATGAAAAGGCTGTGTATGGCTGTTGATTTCAGATCGCTGCAGACCAAGCAGGCGTTCCACAGTACACACTGAATGTTGGCAAATAAGGATGAAGGGCAGGGTATTGTGATGAGATTTGTGTGGTTTCTGGTTGTCTTAGTGTGTGCAGAGGTGAAGGGCCGTGGGTTGGGAGAGACATCACCAGCTGCTAAAACAAGGAGGAGAGATAGTGTAACGAATCACCTGGCACCCCGACTGGGTACCTCCGTTGAAGGATGCTCCTAGCGCTTCCTGATGTCTCCAAGCACTCCAGCCGACACCATAACCACCATAGACTCCTTCAGAGAGCATGACAGGAACACGCTCTTAAAAGAGCTTAGGAGTGATTATAGCAAGGGAATATGCAGTGCATAGCAATCCCTTGTAGCAGATTCCCCCAATAAGAGACAGGACTCCAAATTGAGGGTGAAGTAGAATTGAAGCTTTAATCGAACACTCTGCTTTTATGCACATTTTACACACATAGTACTGCTCACAGGGTTTTGCAAAACAACCAATCAATACGTACAATACACTCAGACACTCCCAGCAATTACACACAAAATCCTCCCCTCTGCCTGTAACATAATTACTGAACACAATGGGCTAACGTAATTATCACAGGCATGAAAATACGCAATTTTACACAATATTCATAACTTTAAAAGTATACTTCACATTCACATAATTACATTAACATTACATTTCAGAATCAGCATACTCCAAATACAAATATATGTCAAAATCATACAAATTGGTCTAGTGGTTCAAAAGTTAGTTGGAAATCCCTTTTTGACCAACTGCAAGCATGGCTTGGGTGTGGTAAGCCAATAATCTTCAGCATACAGAAAATATCTCCATACACAACAACAGTAAAAACACATACAAATACATAATTCCTATCCTACTAATCAGAACCCCCACATTCAAACTATCCCCAGATAGCTCGGATCTGAGCGCTCAATATATCTGAACAGCGCTCAGATCCCACGAACAGAATAAAATCGCCATGGGGCTTAAGTTTAACAAGGGCCATACACAGTCCAATAGAAGTCCATAAGCACCAAATGCTGTTTTTAAAGTGCCCAATCTCCCAGGGGCCATAGTCATGAGGCAGGAGGCTGGCAATCAGGCCCCTCCAGCAGTCAGGGAAAAAAGGCAGTTTGGCACATAACAATCCAGTGACAAAAGGCAGTTTGTCACAGATAGTGACAGGAGGTGTGAGTGGATTTTATGTGCACAGGGCCTAGAATGAGATCGATTATGGGTGGGAGAGAGGGAGCAGAAAAATAAGTGCAGGGCATGAGTTGAGAGAAAGGGGGAGTGTGCGAAAGGGGGAGTGATGCAGAGAGGGGGAAAAGTAAAGGTTGTGGGGGGGAGAGGAAAGTGGTTTTAGGGAGAGATTATGATACTGAGAGAGAAGGAGTAAATGAAGAGGAGGAGAAGACAGGGCATAGCCAAACTGGGAAAAAGTCAATTTGGAGAAAAAATAAATGAATAAATTGGAATATCAAAACCAGGAGTAGGAAGGGTAAAGATTAAGTTTTAGGGGTTAAGAAAGTGCAGGAGTGTACTGATAAGAGGCAGTGTGTACACCTGCTGTTTCTGCTGATCTGAAATTTGGGTGTGACAGACTATCTATAAATGTTATAATGAGCTTGGGGTGGGCAGGTATCAGACTTTCTTGCAGCAGTAATGGGGATAGAAAGTTTGGAAATCAGGCTGTGGAAGGAAGGTATGTGAGGGTCATATACGCTTGCAATACAGCTGAGATAGGGGGATATGCATCTAAGCACAGAGATGAGGGGATAGTCATTCAAACAAATACATTTGAGTTGATATCAATAAAAGAAGGGAGCAGTCAAAGGGCAGAAATCCGAGTGGAAATAGAGATATGCATAAATGTGAATAAAACAATTACACACAGGGATAATAAAACTACACTTTATAAAAACCTGCTTTAATTTTAATTTCCTTAATATTGGCTGTTAAACAGCAACCCCGGACGATCGTTACGACTTTCTTTGGCCTCATCAGGGAGGTGTAGTTGATGCCCCTCTATGCACAATGAGCGCAGGGTCCACATCGGGATTACTCTTTTAACTTGTGAAGAGCCAAGTTAATGTATTGCAAAAAAACAAAAAACAACAGAATATGAGAACTCTGACATGTTTATAGGTTCTCTTTGTAATGGCACAAGTGAGTAAATCCATTTATGAGACCAATTTGGCTATTTTGCCTAAGATGCGCAGTTTCCTTATAAAAGCTTCACAAACCTCTGTTTAGTGAATAATGCCAAATACGTTTTTATTCTAAATTCAGACATACTGTACAGCACGGGTCTTTTTCAGGTAGTAAAGCACATGTGTAGTCTGTCTTCATTTCACATTGAACTAATGGGGACGAGAGCCTTATAGATTTGTCTTTTAAAATTGACTGTTGTCGGAAAACCCTAGGCTCCACTTACTATGTAAGTGGACAGATGTCAGTGGTAAATGTAAATATGTTAAATGAAGTAATTAAGTAGTGTCTAGTTATTCCAGGTATTTAGATTAAAAAAAGAGAACAAAATGAACCGCTTCATGCACTGATAGGCAGGCGTCTCTGCAATATGTTTACTAACTGTCTTGCACATAATATTGTTTGAATAATTTAGTAAACCACACATGATTAAACAATATATATATATTCATCTGTGGAACCGTTGGGGTTCTGTATTATAGCATCATTGTTTTATTTTATTTTTTTTCATCTACATCTGTAACACATATATTGCTTTGTAGCTGTGTATTGTCTTCACAGAATGTGTGTTGTTGTTGGAAAATACCCCAAATTGTGATTCATCCTGTACAGAGGCATAACTAGAAACCACGGGTCCCCAGTACAAAAATTGCCCTAGGGCCCCTCCATGTGTCACATGGGTGCGTGTGGCATAGTTGGGGGGGGTGAGTATGGAGGGGTTCACGTGATAGGGTGAAGGGGACAAGTGTGACAGAGTGATGGAGAATGAGTGTGACAGTGCTAGAGAAGGTGAGTGTGATAGAGTGAATATGTCAGAGTGATGGAAGGTGAGTATGGCATGGGTGAGTGATAGGATTGTGGGAGTTATTGTGAGTGTGGCAAGGTGAAGGTGGGTGACAGTGTGTATGTTGGGGAGACCGTTATACAGACACACATGCAGATAAACAGACAAACACACACTGACCTACATGCAGATACACACCATATAGCACATACAGATACATACACGGACACACATGCAGATACACAGACACTTAATGACAAACATTCAGATACAAACAGTATGACACTCATACAGATACATAGGCAGACACGGACATACAGATACTTATAAACACATACATTAAGACACATCCAGATACATACATAGACAAATGCGTACATACAGACAGATACATACACACACACACGCAAAATGTTTTAGTCACTCTCCTGTTTCCTACCTTTTAGGTGCAGGAGGGTGACTTTCCCTGTGATCCAGTGGCTGGCTCCAGCTGATGGGAGTTAGAGTGGGAACTCTGACTCCCTCCTCTCCATCCTTCTCACACGCGGCTCTCTATGATAGCTGAGAGCAAATGACCAGGGAAGTCACTTCCTCCCAGCTCTGACTGGTGGCCTGGTCATGCTATTAAAGTGCCGCAGCGCTGACCAGGCCCCCTGGAAATTCATTGCCATCAGGTGGCCCTAACAGCATGGGCTCCTTCAGCTTTGACCCCTGTGACCACAGTAGTTCTGCCATTGATCCTGTATGCCGCCACCTAGACTGGTAAAATGTTCAGTAGCGCCAAGGAGCACATAGCAATGCTATACAGAAGCTTCTACATACATGCTTGTACCGTGACTCCAACCTTCACTAATGAGCTATCTGCAGTATTCAGAATTGTATGGTGGTTGTTGTATCTCTTGTGCAGGGGGAACTCATTGGCATTTTGAATCTGGACTACCCTTATGGATGAGATCAGTCTGATTTGCAACTGGTTCTCTCTGGAATGGCTCAAATTAGGAAAAACTGTTGAGACCTGAGTGGGATAAGCTATTGAGCTTTTCTCGTTCTCAGAGTTGTCATCTGAAATCAGACTTTTATTACACGTTCCCAGTCCCAGATTTAAAACCCTTATCCTCATCTTTACTCTGGTGTCCTGCTTTCTGAGGGTGAAGAGTACAACATTAGTGCATATTTAAACACACTCAATCTGCCCCAGGTAGGAATTCCAAGACCTTTTAGCCCATGTGCAGCTCTTTAGTAGCGTTAATCTTATGAGCCGCCCTGCTTGGCTACCTTTCTGGGCAGCCTGTCACCCTAGGTTCACTATGCCAAGATGACACACTGTTTTATGGATGCGAGGATCTCACTAACACACATTGCAGCACTATCACACCATCACTATCTCCCCAGCCTGAGGATTTACATCAAATAAAATATCTTAAAATGATTTTATATGTATTGTTTGACATATATTTGAATGCATTTTCTATATTATTAATGGATGCTAAGCGATGTTTAACTGCATAAAATTGGGATTTTGTAACCTATTATTGTGCTTAGCACAGGTTTATTTGTACTATTTACTCTGTTTACGTGTACTGTAACACAGCTTTTCAGATCAGAATTTTGTCTGCAAAGTAAAAAGCCTGACTAACTATTTTAATGCACTGTAACGTGTCATCTGATTTCTGTATCCATTTTTTTCTTTTCATCTTAAATACTTTGCCTGCCTTCCCTATCCATCAATGTGGCTATCTTCTCATTAACTGAACTCTATACATCTGCACTGTTTGTTGATTTATTTTATAATTGCATAATTCTAAATTAAAAATTGTAAATCCTGCCAGCAATGGAATTCACTCCTCAGTAGCTTATAGTTTTTGTAATTTGGAATTTTAATTATTTTATTTACAAGAATCTTTACATGTTTGGCCAGTAATTTTGATCCATAATTTCCCAGAAGTGTGGACGCTTTTTTCTAAAGTGTAAAACCCTCTCTCCCAAAGGAGTATTGAGTTCTACGTAGGCCTGTAATCATTCCCCAGAGAGCTTTCGTCTTAAGAATTCCACCGTAAAAACATCCTTTTTATGTGATACATTGAACATCAAGGAATGAATGCAATTACAACCAATGCAATCATTTAATTTACTGCTAAAAATCTCCTGTTGACTTAATTGATTTTTAACTTTAATGGGAAAACATCACATTTTCACAAACTGTCTTTACTGATGACGTCCAATGTTATTAGTAATGTTTAACCCTATGTGGTTAATACCTTTAATCTGCCATCTAAACATTGGCCATTTACTAGTATACACCACCCAGCATATGTTTCTGAGTAGAACATTATATATTCCATAGAAATTTACTTCTATTTTGCATTACAAATTCTGCTGATTGGTGTAGAAGACATTCCTTGGGAATCCACTGAGTGATTGGTAAGAACCAGGAAACCCTGCTCAAGGTGGTTCTCCTGCTCTCCATCACAGCAACTTCACATGCACTTACTGTAACATAAAATAGGTACCCCATGCATATTGGGATCATGGAGGAGATGCATTTTCCGTAGTGTGGGACATAGGAGGGACCTTGAGCCGTTTGTCATAAATTAATGTTCTACTCTTCTTCATGGCGGTTGACATCAAGAGCTCCTATACGAATTTCATTTCATAATTGTGGCCTTGTGTTACATTATATATTCATTGCATTAGGAGCTGCTGTCAGTTTAAAAAAATATCCATGGCAATTATGTTTAATGTATAAAAAAAAAAGTTGTTTTTTTCTGTGGTTTAATGTGTAACTGCATTATAAAGGACCTTTAGGGAAGACGGGGTCCTTATCAACCTATTGTTCCGGACAAAATTTGTAACAGTTTGTCTCATTTGTTGTTAACTATTTATATTATATTGTAAAGCGCAGCAGTAGAAGCTGACAATAAGAATAACAATAATAAATCGCAATGCTTTTTTTTTTGGCAGAACACTTTTTATAAATACAATGTAATAACTGCCAATGTCTACCAAAGCAAAACTGCCCATATTATTCAACCATGTGTGATAACAGCTTCCAGTCTTTTGCTTGTTTAGACCATTATACAAAGGCTAACTTCTTTCACCAACTAATATCTTATACAACGTTATATATTTCTATCATTAGATTTAAATATTACTTTAAAGGAGTACTTGAGACACCATAACCATTAAATCACAAGGTAATATTTATGGTGACATGCGTCTTGCATTATCTTCTGGTTATGTGTCAACAATTTTTTTTAAGGATTTTGACACAGTAGGTCCGGCCGGATCCCGTGCCCATAGCCCCCGCCACACTACATTTTTTTATTGTGGAATTTACACTTCCATAATAGCCTTATTACTTTAGTCCTTCACTTGACATGTCCCAATATCCTGCGTGTGGGGCTGGAATGTGGTTGTCCCCAGTTTATTTAAACCAATCAAATAAAATGTCAATGAATCAGAGGCATGCTTGCACTATAAGCACTGCAGCAGACTGTGGTTGTTAAAATGCTTATAAGGCTGTTTTATAAGAGGAACTGTCACCTTTATGTTGGAGATTGTCACGTTTTTATTGCCACAGTAAACTGTAGTAAACATTAGAATGTGCATTTTATAATTAGGCATTGAATTTATATTTGGAGAGCAGGGATGGCTGATTCTTTTAGAAAGTGAGGGGCTCCAACTATATTTTTTTAAAACCTAATATAATAATGTATATTCTAATGTCCTTCTAATTTGTATATAAACTAAACCAGTATAGGCATTTTCAATTTCAATAACTACTTAATTAGATTACAAATTCATCCCATCGGTTTATCCTCAGCGGCACACTTAGACAAATATTATTAATGGAGAATAATAAATTATTTAATTTCTCGAGTCAATCAGAAACCAGTTTGTCATTTTACCGTTCGCTATTATACATGAAACAGATCCCACCCGTTCTTTATTACCTTTTTATTATTTCACAACAACTCTACAAAAATGCCACAGCAATTTAAAATTCATTTTTAGAATTGTTTTTTCTTTCTTTCACTATTTGCAATAGAAAGGGTGGTATTGTTTTGTAATTTTCAATTTAAGTAAATACCTCATTTTCAGTGCATATATTGGCTCTGTTAATCTACAGAGGCAGCCATCTTAAATACCGCTTTGGTCCAAGATACAGGTTATCTGACCAAAGACCATACAGATAGTGGAGAGCTAGTGCACGTTCATGAATCCTGGTGTCCTATTTTATCACAGGTGATCTCCAACATGCTCTTACTTGGTTTCAGCCACTTTGATGAATAAGTGGAGTTTCTGAACAAAGAGGACAAAAGATTTATTGGGCAGACTAGATGGGCCAAATGGTTCTTATCTGCCGTCACATTCTATGTTTCTATAACCTGTTCCACTAAAACCACTTAAATCACTGAAAATCCATTTCTATTTCCATGTAAGTACAAAGATAGAATACACCTTAATAATGCAATCTTTTTACATTTTCAGTGAAAACAAAATGATGACTGTTAGTATATCCTCTCTAATAATGCATTGAAAAGAGTGTCAAGTGTAAGGGCAGAATTTTACTGGCTCATTTACTAAAGTGAACGTGAAAATTCATGGTGAATTTCAAATGTAAAGTCAGAGTAGCTGAACTGGGAGCATAGCTGACTTAGAGAATGTTTCTAGATCAGCTTTGGACTATTCAAAGATTAACAGCTTTTTATTTTTATTTTTTCACTTGGGTTGTTCATTAAAGGGACACTCCAGGCACCCAGACCACTTCTGCCCATTGGAGTGGTCTGGGTGCCAACTCCCACTACCCTTAACCCTGCAAGTGTAATTATTGCAGTTTTTTTATAAACTGCAATAATTACCTTGCAGGGTTAACTCCACCTCTAGTGGCTGTCTACTAGACAGCCACTAGAGGGCACTTCCTGCTCTATAGCACAGAAAACCTGTGCTAGAGCGTCGCTGGACGTCCTCACGCTGTGTGAGGACCTTCAGCGTCGCTCAATTCCCCATAGGAAAACATTGAAAAGCATTTTCAATGCTTTCCTATGGGGAGCTCTAATGCGCATGCGCGGCATTGGCGCGCCTGCGCATTAGGTCTCCCCGGCCGGTGGGCAGGATCAGTCTCGACTGGGAGGAGCGGCGGCGAGCAGAAATCACTGCCGAGGGACATCGGCGGGGTCTCAGGTAAGTGACCTGAAGGGGTTTTCACCCCTTCAGCTACCCGGGGATGGGGGGGGGGAGGGAGAGGGGACCTCCAGTGCCAGGAAAACTGATTGTTTTCCTGGCACTGGAGTTTCCCTTTAAAGTATAATAATATACAGGTAGGTGAGAGAGCAGGTTTCCAAACTCGCACAGGGTTATTCACTAAAATGAGAATTGCTGGGATTGTAAATTGAATTTCAAATGTAAAGGGTAACCGTTTATGCTCCATAACAACATAATCTAAATAAAGTTGGTACGGTGCCAGGAGTTGTCCGGGTGCTCTCTTACATTAATGGTAAAACCCAGGGAAACTTTTTTATTAATGGGAAGCTACTGATGGGCTTAGTTTCAGCTGACCATTCTAGCCAATCAGCAATGCCGCTGCCAGACGGCACTCTGTACTTCCTGTAACTTAGATTCTGAAGCTGGTTGCCCCCTGGTGACCTGGAGTTTGGCGCCGCAGGCAACCTTTGGGATTATTTAGATGACGTTGTTATGGTGGTCAAAGTGTTCTTTTAGGGCCAAACCAGCCCAAAAATTCTCAAAGTCAGCTATGCTTCCAGTTTATCTACTTTAGCCTTAGAGGAACATTATAGGGTCAGAAATATAAACATGTATTCCTGACCCTAGAGTATTAAAATCACTACTTAGGTGTCTGCCCCCCTTCCCACCTTTATTCCAACGCAGCGTGGGTCTGCCTATGCTAGGTCCGCCCCTGCTCCGCCTATAGGCTGAGATCATCAGAACAATCTCAGCCAATCCAGTGCTTTCTTATAGGAAAGCATTTGGAAGCTATCTCACATAAAACAACGCATCTTTATTGGGAAAGTTCAGTGTCTCCATTCAGAGCTGAAATGCAGCACTGACCCAGGAAATACCTCTAGTAGGCAGCAATGTAAACACAGATTTTTTTTCTGAAAAGGCAGTGTTTACTTTAAAAAGCATGCGGAAACATGCTATACACACCAGGACAACTACATTAAGCTGTAGTTGTGCTGGTGACTATAATGTCCCTTTTTGAAAATTCACTTTGATTTCTCAACAATTCTCACTTTAGTAAAATACCCTGACTGAATTCCAGGCTTTCGACAGTTAAGTGAATACACTTGTCAGTGTTTGGTTTGATATATAGTTGCTAATATGAAAATTTGATTATTTTTTTTTGCCATAAACTCCAATATACCTGCACTCTTTGCTGATGTTATAAAACTTTAGGATGATAGAACATTTTTGGGGGTTTTCAATCATCTTTTATTTGCAGTTTGAGGACAATTTAACCCCTTAAAGACCAAACTTCTGGAATAAAAGGGAATCATGACATGTCATGTGTCCTTAAGGGGTTAACGAGCCGAGTGCACTGTGTCACAGTCAGGGGTATCACACAGCTCGTTTGGAGTATTCTAATTAGATGGTGCTTTTATATGTAACATGACAATTTTACAGCATCCCAAAGGAACAATGAATACACTACAACAATTCAATTTGTGTAACAAGAACACATGGCATAATGGTTTTTAAAATGTAATTGAATAATGTGTATGAGCATTTCCAAATGTATCCCCAGGCCGTGGAAACCTGAGTAATATCCATTTTACCAGCAGAAGAGTCAGCATTATGTCAACTTAGACAATAATGTAAATTGTCATTGATTCATACAGTGGTTAATGGTGTTTAAAAGGAGCAATTATTGCAGATTGTGTTTCTATTCTATCTGCCTGCACTGCCATATTACAGACTGTAGCATTGCAGGACTGGTCTTTTGAATGTAATGTAACAGGGCTCCTGGCACCCGCAGGGTTAAAGCCATGTCCACCTTACAACCCGTATGAAATGCAAACAATTTGTAGTCCTCGGACTATGTTACAGCCAGAATACATCTACCACTTAAATGGTTTCTACCCCAAAATTGGCCCTATAGAGGGCTACATGAGTGTTGTGTTTTATATCAGAAGGTAAGATATGATATTATAGTAAGTCTGTCGTTGTATAAAGAAATACAAACTTTAATTTGTTTAAAAAGGGAACGGCTTTTTCTTCGTCTTAGTACTGCCACTACGCCGTCTGTTTTGGGGGTCCAAGTGACTTCTGCATGTGGCCAGGCTGATAGGAGTGTCAGGCCACTGATTCATGCAACCTGGCTGCATTAGTACATCTTTGTGTGCATATAAAATAAATACATCTTTGTGTGCAAATAAAGATAAGCAGTCTTTTAGGACAGCCATCTCTTGGATTCTCGGAAGTGGGATATTATAGAAAGGAATGTTTGCAGCTAAGGGGTCCCATATCAGGACTGTCCTTCTTGAATTTGGGACAATTGTCAAGTATGCTTAATGCTATTTTTTTTTTTTTTATATAGTGGATTTAAATATGGGAGTGGATTCCATCTTGGAGTGTGTAAGTCACAGCCAAGGGAGTTGTGACTAGGGCTGAATAAACTTAGTGATTTAATTCCAAAATGGCAAAGAATTAAGCAGCGAGACTGCAGGGGCATGATCTGTGCACCAGAACCACTTCATTAAGTTAAAGTTATTTGGTGCTTACAGTGTCCCTTTAATGGGGCACTTCTGTTTGAAATTCACTATGCCTTTTGTGATGAATTATCTTCACAAAGTGTGCGTCAACAAAACAAAACAAAATCTCCATATAGCTGCATTATTTATTTTTATTTTTGAAATCCCCCAGAGCTAGTCTAGGGCTAGGCAATGGATTAGCTCTATAATTCCCTCCTAGTCGGAGTTCAATGCAGATAACCATCCTTTGTGTGTAATGTTTGGGTTATGTGGCTGCTTTACTCGGCTCACTTGTAGTATACAATAAAGCAACTAAGTAGCAGAAAGACAAACGAATGTCAGATAGACCCGTGATCTACCTCTCTGGGGGCTGAATTTGTGTTTCTGTTCCAGGTTTGTTCTCCAGTGTCCTGCTTCACTCTGAAAGCGCATCATAAGACTGTCTCTCACCGTCACCGAGCAAAATAAATTCAGTACACTGAGCCCATGCACAATCTCTTTAGCAGTGGTGTCTGCATGGCCAGCCTGGTCTGCATTCATGTTAGACTGACATACTCCCCCTTTGAGAGCACCGTCATGTTCCAAACATCCCAATGTTGCTTAATATACTGACTATGTGCCTGCCTGAGCCTCCCCTTCTTCTAGTGATGGCCGATTGACTTCCAGCAGTTTATCTCGCTCGGGGGATCCATTCACTAAATGCCGAATGGCAATCAAACAGCCACATGCTGTTCAACTGTCACAATCCAGCTGGTTTAACCTAGTGGGCTATTTACAAAAAGTAAATTGGTTTCAACTGAATTTGCACTTCCATTTGGCTACAGTAAAGATTTTTAAAATACAGAATCTCCATATGAGTCGTTTGACAATTCACTAAAAGCCAAATTGCAACCTACATTAGTTTGTTCCAATTTTTTTTGTAGTCTCCATAATCCTAAATCCCTCTTGAAGCCCAAGGAGAAAGCGCAGCTTAGGGAATAGGGCCCTGACAGGGCTAGGAGGCGGGCTAGGGCCGGGAGCATTAGTGGGGATTGGTGGGTCGATGTTTGAGGGTTGGCTGATATAAAGGGTCGGCCATTTTGTGATCCCTCACTCTAATTTCTTGCAGAGTTGGTCCCTCCCTCCCTTTTGTAGCCTTTTTCCCCGCTTGGTCACAGTGGCAGGGTGGGGTAAGGAACATTAAGGGAAAATGGGCATTGCTTAATATAGGAGAAAGGGGAGTTAGTTGATTGGTTTAAAGGGTACATTGTTCGTACATGTTTTGGTAGGTTTCGAGTCCGTTGGTGGCTCAGAACCTTGGTGGTGTAGGGTATCTGGGTATACCCCTACCAGGTAAAATTGATGAATGTTGGCACTTTACATGTTATAGTTATATGGCTGTTATATATTGGGAAACGTGCTATGTTGTGGGTCATTGCCTTGATTTAAATATGGGAGAGATTATATAATGTTGGAGGTGTGGCAGGTATTGACCTTTTTTATATAATTGTAAACCATAAGTTACTAATATTATCTTTATTAAAGCTGTTGACATTTTTGACCCATACCCATAAGTGTCAGTGTCTTATTCGGTGGGATGGGTTAGGTTCATGTATCCCTCCCCTGCCCATGTGGCGACTATGCACCTGTCATGGTTCCCCTAAATCCTCTTAACCCTGTAAGCATACCCCAGCACTAAATCCTAAAGCTACTCTTACATATGGAGGAGGGAGGTCTTGTCACAACGTAATTCTTGTGTAATTCTGCTTCGTTTCGGTTACCGATTGGTTGAGCTATTCTGAAATTACTCTTGTGGTTCTAATGAGCTTAATATGATATCTGGAAGGTTCCATTTGTCTCGGCTTACTTAGCATTTGGTCATTAAGGAATACAGTGAATTTTACCAATTAACTCCGGGACAATTGACCTGGATGAAATCAGCCCAATTTGGCATTGACTGAATAGACCCTTCAGATTAGTCAGTGGCTGAGCCCTGAACCTACTCTGATAAGGATGTCTTTTTTTTTTTTTCAAGAATGGGACATAATGTGTTTCTGAATTCTGCACAATCGTTTTTTTTTTTTTTTCTTTTTTCTTCAAAAAAATGAAAACAATTCAAATGAGGCAAAAAACTAAAATTAAATGTTTTAAAGTGTTTGTGCTGGAATGAACCCTCTTGATTTTTATGATTTCCCATAGATTGGGGAAAATGTATGAGCATTACTCCAATTAGTTGAAAACGTGATATAATTACAATAATCTCACACATCTTGTATGTTTTACTTGTGCCGCACCCAGTTCAATGCCAAGCAATATATTACACGTGGAGCATGCCCTGTATAAACTGGCACATTTGCTGTCATTCCAGTAAAAAAAAACCTCCCATTTTAATGTAAAAAGAAATGCCTTGTAAGCCTGGGAAAAAAGCCAGCTGAACAAATCTTTATAGTGGAATCTTCAAACGGCTGAGCTGTGCACCTCGGTGAATTCGGCAAGTCAGCAAATCCACGTTTCCAATTAATTGCAAAGCATCGCGCTTCTCATCCATTAGGATACATTAAACGTTCCCATCCAAATTGTATCAGCTGGTAGGCAATGCCTCCGCTGTCTTATATCAACTGAATGTGCAGAAACAAGGCCAGATATTGAAATGACAAGTGTCAGAGACTGCATGGAGTCCAAATACAAATTCAGTGTTCATTTTAACTCTTTCACATCCTATGCCTATACATTTACTAACTAAAGCAAATATACATTTTACTAAAATCCCCCTCTGCTTAACTTAACCATCACTGGTTTTCACTTGGCAGAGAAAGCTCTTCTTCCAGAACTTTATTCTTTTTCCCTGCATCTTTGCAGTGTAACTTATAAATATTACTATAATATGTATACTAATATACATGCCTATAAATGTATGGATACATGCACTGACCCATACAGACATGCACACACTCACTGACACATGCACTTAACTATGTAAGCCGACACACACATATGCACTGATGCATGCAGATAGGCACACAGACATGCACTGACCCATGCAAATCGACACACACACATGCACTGACCCATGCAGCAGACACACACCTGCACTGACCCATGCAAATAGACATACACACATGCACTGACCCATGCAAATAGACACGCACGCACTGACCCATGCAGCAGACACACACTCACACACTGACCCATGCAGCAGACACTGACCCATGCAGCAGACATACACACATGTACTGACCCATACAGCAGACACACACACATGCACTGACCCATGCAAACACACACACGCACGCACTGACCCATGCAGCAGACACACACTCACACACTGACCCATGCAAATAGACACACACACATGCACTGACCCGTGCAGTAGACACACACACATGCACTGACCCATACAGCAGACACACACACATGCACTGACCCATGCAAATAGACACACACACATGCACTGACCCATGCAGTAGACACACACATGCACTGACCCATACAGCAGACACACACACATGCACTGACCCATGCAAATAGACACACACACATGCACAGACCCATACAGCAGACACACACACATGCACTGACACATGCAAACACACACACACATGCACTGACCCATGCAGCAGACACACACACACATAGACCCATGCAGCAGACACACACACACTGACCCATGCAGCAGACACACACACACATAGACCCATGCAGCAGACACACACACACTGACCCATGCAGCAGACATACACACATACACTGGCCCATTCAGACACAATCGTGTGGGCTAGGCTTTCCTGGCATGAGAATGGGGTAGCCGGTGAGCGAGATCATCTTCCCACCGGCCGTGCCGCTCTGAGGCCATGGTGGCCTTTTGAGAAACCTGGCCCTGCTCACAGTACAACTGTCAATGTGGATGAAATGTCATTGCAGCTTTAGAGCGCCCGGTGTCCGGAGTGAGGGAGGATAGGCTTTAAGCACCCTGAATAGATTGTTTGCAATCTGTAATAGCAGCTTTACAGTGCAGATATGTGTACCTATTGTTACTGTAGTTGGCCAACGAGCTCACATATATAAATTATTTTTGTACCCTGGTGGTATTTTTATCAAGCTGCGTTCTCTCAAATATCAGCTGGTTACTAACAAATACTCATAAACCGCAAAAATGTTTCTCCTTTTTTTCATTCCAAATATATATGTGACGACTGGTCATTTACATGATGCGCTATTATTTTATGATGTCTACCAGGTGATGAGCACACAAATACACTGTAAAACTTGCTGTGTACAAACTTCCAAATGGCATGTCCCAGCATGCCATTGCAGAACATAGATACCCAGTTACATAGCTGAAAAGAAACATGTGTCCATTAAGTTCATCCTTTCTTACATTGGTTATTGCTGTTGGTCCAAAAGAAGGCAAAAAATCCAGTCTGAAGCTCATCCAATTGGAATAAATTCCTTCTTGACCTCAGAATGGCCATCCGATATCTCCTTGGATCAAAAAGCTATTACCCCTCTAATTTAAATAAATAAATATATATATAATGTTTTTGCAAGTATTTATCTAATTGATGTTTAAATATCTGTATACAGTGGTGTATCCTGGTTTTGTGCTGCCCTAGGCAAGACAAAACTCAGGCGCACCCCAACCCCCTCACCCCCGCGCGCTTCCCCCACCCATCCCTTCCCCCCGCCCCGCCTTCTAAATACACACACACACGCACACTCACTGACATATACGCATACACTAGCTAACAAAAACACAAACTCACTGACAAACACAGACACACACTCACTAGCAGACACACACACTCACTGACACACACACTCACTGGCAAACATACACACACAGTCAGACACACACACACAAACACACTCACTAGCAGACACACACACACTCACACTAACAGACATACTCACTAACAGACACACTCACTCACAGACACACACACACACTCACAGACACACTCACTAACAGACACACTCACACACACACTAACATACACACTCACTAACACACACTCACTAACAGACACACTCACACACACACTAACAGACACACACACACTCACAGACACACTCACTAACAGACACACACACACACACTCACAGACACACTCACACACACACTAACAGACACACACACACTCACACACTCACTCACATTAACACATGTATTTTTTTTAACCCCCCCCCACCCCCTCCAGCCTCCTTACCTTTGAGAATGCTGGGGGAGGGGGGGCTCATTATCTCCCTGGTGGTCCAGTGGCTGACGGTCAGGCTGATGGGCTGGCTGCTGGGCGGGCGGCTGGCGAGGGAGCTCTTCCTCTGAGCTGCCTGCTCAGCTCCCTTGTGCGCCGCACAGTGAGGCTGGGAGCCGGAAGATGACATCATCAACCCGGCTCCCAGCCTCACTCTGCGGCGCGCGAGGGAGCTGAGCAGACAGCTCAGAGGAAGAGCTCCCTCGCCAGTCGCCCGCCCAGCAGCCATGTCTGTTAGTCGCAAGGCTACCAAGGCATTTGCCCTGGGCATTTGGGGGCGGCTTTTTTTGCCGCCCCCTGAAAAATGCCGCCCAAGGCAAATGCCTCGTTTGCCTCGCGGCTAAAACGCCCCTGTCTGTATAGACTTTGATAAAACCGCATTTTCAAGGAAGAGAATTCTACATTCTTTTTGTTACTGTAAAAAACAAAAACCTTTCCTTTGCCTTAGACTAAATCTCATTTTTTCCAGTCTAAATGCGTGACCTTGTTTAAACAATTGTAAAACAATTTGTTTAATGCCCTCTGTCACCCATTAATGGTAGTTATTCTGGCCGCCTATTATATGGGTTTCCAACCATTCTCATACTACTCCTTTGGAATCCTGTGTCAAGTGTGCAGTGTCTACAGGGTTAACAGTGATTCAATGTTGCCAAATCATACTTACCCATACTTTATTTTGGATAAATAATAATGAGGTGTAATTTTGGCATTGGGTGCCAGGAATCATGTGTACTTGGCAGTATCCCTTTAAATTAACTTCTAGGTCCTATAGAATATACACTATTTTTAAAACATAAGTATAGCACATGGCATATTATCCACAATAGTTATTAACGAGTGTTATTATGTTACAGGCTCAAAGAAGGGAAGAGATTATTGCACTGCTGAAAAAGCAAAGAGAAGATCGAATTAAGGTAGTAGGAATCCTTTCAGCACAAAAAATACAAATGTCTCTGACGGGTACATCTCATGTAGTATAAATGGGTATGCAGCAATACATGGTTAGTTGCATACATGTGGCTTCTGCACACTTTCTTATATGTTTATGGGAAAAGTCTTCATTTTCTGACATTTTGTCCCACTTTCAAAAAGGTGGAATTTATGGGCAAATAGTTAATACAATAATCACTGCATCTGGTTTCATACAAAAATAAGGATGATTTTTCATGATAATCTATCAAATGCATCATTTCACAAAGTCCTTGGCTGGTAACTGAAGCAGATTCATTTATTTTATATTGGGTCTGAATCATAAAAAGGTGAGACACTGTATATCACAAAATGAAAGTATTAGTACCGCTGCAGTAGTGATATATAACAGCATTGCCTGCCATTGTTTTCAGACTACCACCCTGATCTTTATTGATTTATTTTTAATTTGAGTATTAATGACGAGATAATCGAGAGGGCTAGAAAACAGGTCTGCAAGGAGGCACACCTGGTTCCAGTCCTATTACCCTAATGGAAATTACTAAGTAAAGGTAATTGGCATTTAGTGCCTAATTTACATAAGCATAGAAAATAAAAAAAACTTTATTGTCCAATATTGGATAAACACATCTAAATATCCCAGACACCAAAAAAAGTGAAAAAATTATTAATATTGAAAAAAAGGAGATGATAGTAAGTATAAAAATAGGACCAAATACTTGAGCTAATGTGTACAAAGTGTACTAATTACAAAATAGCCAGGTAGTGATACTGATGAAGTGGAAACAGTATCTGAGTGGAGATATACAGTGTATACATAGGTAGATGCAATAAGGTAACCCTAGTTGTACTGGCCAAGTGGCAACAGAATGTGTATATCTTATAATTAGTCAAGCTCAAAGTAATGTCAATCTGTCTGTGTGGCTCTAAGTACAGCAGGATCAAATAGGTGTCTGGCTTGTCAGAGAGTATCTGGGAAGTCCACAGCAGACCCCAGATAAAATAAAATCATGGTCGGGAAAACGGACAGTGGAGAACATAAAAGATTAGATTGCTTCTCCCCTATTATGATAGTCTCTGACAGCACCTAAATGTAGGTAATGGAGCGCACAGTTCTACCCTGATAAAATTCAGGGCATCAATATCAAAGAGTAAAAAACAAAACCGGCTTGAATAAACCTATATAGGGTAAAGTATATAAAATCTGAAGTAGATATTTAGTAGATAACCCCCAAAAAAACGGTTCTAGGCTTCATTGGCAGATAAGGGATAGCATCCAGTATACTACTGCAGATCCCTAAATGGACTCTTAAGATAGATAGTGCACTAATGAATCTCTGGGTCACAGGATAGATTATTCAGTACTTTGCTGGAAGAGTCCCTGGGAAAAGGAGCCCACTAGAATGGATAGAGCAACTGAATGCGTATCATATTTGTAGTGTCTGGTATTGCTCAGGTATGCTGTGCTAAGCTTAAAGGACCACTATAGTGCAAGGAAAACATATTCGTTTTCCTGGCACTATAGTGCCCTGAGGGTGCCCCCACCCTCAGGGTCCCACTCCCGCCGGGCTCTGGGGGGAGGAAGGGGTTAAACTTACCTCTTTCTCCAGCGCCGGGCGGGGAGCTCGGCGCACATTCAGCCAGTCCATAGGAAAGCATTCACAATGCTTTCCTATGGACGCTGGCGTCTTCTCACTGTGATTTTTCACAGTGAGAAGCGCAGAAGCCCTCTAGCGGCTGTCAATGAGACAGCCACTAGAGGCTGGATTAACCCTAATATAAACATAGCAGTTTCTCTGACACTGCTATGTTTATAGAAGAAAAGTTTAACCCTAGCTGGACCTGGCACCCAGACCACTTCATTAAGCTGAAGTGGTCTGGGTGCCTATAGTGGTCCTTTAAGGAGTAACAACTGAACAACGGTGTGCTTATCATTGTAGTATCCAGTATCGCTCAGGTATGCTGTGCTTCAACTGGAGGAGTAATGAACTGCCTATCGAGAGCTAGATAAACCCATATCTCAGAAAGACCCAGAACCCTAGGCTAAAAATAGCTGCAGAGAGGTCTAAATCTAAAAACCCACAGAAATGTGGAGTCTACCTCAGTATAGAGTATAGAGCTACTCTTGCTGTTAAGTACAGTTCAATCCTTGATCTCCTGAAGTTACTTCTTTCCTGCAAGACCTAGCCTGGACAACAATTCAGTTACGTGCCCTCGCACATCTGTGGAAGTATTTAAAGGTGTACCCTCATTTTGTGTCCCTTAGACTAAATCCGTAGCGCTCTACTGGTTCTGAGATTGCTGGGGGTATGGAATAGTTTGAGTTATTGTGGTATATTTGCTAATTTAGTGTTAGACGTAGTCGTATCTGCCTAGATTTACTGGCAAGTTCAAAACGTGATTTCTGAAGTTTGTAATCAGATGTGTTTCCTTTATTCAGAAAGAAGCCATTTCCCTGCCATTTAAACCAGTAGTTACAGAAAGAGAACAAAGGTAAGTGTCTTTGCAATCCTTGTGAGAAAATACTATGCCTTAAAGGAGTACTATAGTGCCAGGAAAACAAACTCATTTTCCTGGCACTATAGGGTCATTAGGTCCCCCCCACCCTCAGGGCCCCTCTCCCGCTGGGCTGAAGGAGTTAAAACCCCTTCAGCCACTTATCTTTCTCCAGCGCCGGGCTCCCTCTGTGCTGGGGAACTCTCCACCCCCTGCCGACATCAGATCCGAATGCGCATGCGCGTCAAGAGCCGCGCGCGCATTCAAACCACCCATAGGAAAGCATTACTGAATACTTTCCTATAGACATCTAGTGTCTTCTCACTGTGATTTTCACAGTGAGAATCGCGGAAGCACCTCTAGCGGCTGTCAGGAAGACAGCCACTCGAGGCTGGATTAACCCTCAGTGAAACATAGCAGGTGAAATTTCATCAAACATTTATGTTTTTAATCCACACATTTACTGCATGGTTGCTTAGAGTGCCCATTTTATATACTCCTGGGCCTACCGGACAGTTTCTTGTTTTATTATTGAAGATAAATCTGTTTTTTTATTTTTTCCAGAATAAACCCATTTATTCTATATAGCTTGAACATTTGGTTTTCTAATTTTTATCACTCAGTTGCATTTTATCTAATTAGGAGCTTATAAAACACACATTTTGAAGTATTTTATAGCTAACATTTAATAACACTTAATTAAATTTATAAAGCAAAGCTGAGGTTTTAATGTTCTTAGCTATAATCCTATTGAACAGGACTATATGTGGTTATTCAGAGTGTTTAGTGGGTCTGCGTTGATTGCTTTGCTATTTAGCCTGCACAGAGATAAACATTTGCCAATATTGCTCTTCTTGTACGTGTATTGTCATGTTAATATCACCCAAATGCAGGGCTGAAGTCATGGCTGCTTATTTATGAACCGAGGGATATATGTGTGTGTATATATATATATATATATATATATATATATATATATATATATATATATGTATGTAGAAAGGCCATTAGGCCTGAATTTGTGGGAGGAGTAAGTCCCCTACTTAAGCTCCCAGCCCCTACTCACCGCTGCCGCTCAGCTGATTGTCCTTAGCAACCAGCACTTCCGGTCCAGCTTCCCGCCAGAACTGTACCTGTCTCCAGCAGCCAGACGCCCTGTGCAATCCTCCGTCCATCCGAGGTCCTTCCACTCCGTTTCCCTCCGGTCGAGGTACCCGACTTCCGGTCACGAGACCGGCGCGTTCACGTAAGCAAGGCGTGGGAATTAGCGTTCGCTATTTCCCCGCCGTTCGGGCCTAAAAACGTAGGGGTAGGCTCCCTCTTTCGCATTTTCACGAATACACGCTTTCGTTTATATCTCCATTCGCGCCAAAAAAAACGCACGAACGTTCGGCTCATTTTCGCTATCGTTTTATGCTTTTTCGTACGGAAACAACCGAATAAATATTTCATGTTTAAACTCATTATTATCTGTATTCACTTTTCCGTTCGGTTATTTCAGCATCAACCTATTCGTATGCTTAATTCACGTACACCATCTTACTAATTTACATTCGGTTATTTCTATTCTTTTAAGATAAGCTGACATAAGTTCTAATCACAGTCCTACTATTATTTATTCCTACATATGAGTTCGCGGTTACATTATATGGTTAACTACCAGCCCTGTGTTTTTCTACCTTGTTAAACCATTTAAAGTATTTTTCTGTTATAAACATGATATTCACCACGGTTCATAACTTCATACGTGTCTAAATTCAAGCTATAACATTCTTTCCTAATAACACTCAGATAAGTCTTTTTAAACACTATTTACAAGTTATACCCTTTACACATAATCCGTACTATTCCTTGCACATAAATCACGCTGTCACATCTTTTGGCTTTTACAGATTGCATCGGTCTCTTGCTTTTCTGCATTAAAGTTGTTATTTCAAGGTCCTTTTATTACAGGAACAGGTATGGTTTTATCACCTTGAGTTATCAGGTTTTATCAATTATCTTCACATCTATGGCTAACTATGGTATTTTTCTTGGTTAAACCCTTAGATCCTTGTATTAATCTAAGCTTCCACCGTTTCTACGCAGTTAACCTGCCACGATTAAACAAGCTCTGTACTTTAAACAAAGGTATAGTTCACTCTCTTTTCAATACTAGACCTCACGCGGTCTCAACTCCATTACTACCTTCCCTCAGGCTTACGCCCAGGATACGTTATCTCTTTACTACTTGTCTACACAGACTTTCGGTCATACGGCCACCAGGCTCAAGAAGACACCAAATCCTGACACGGTACACAGCCATACCTTCAGGTACTTACATCCTTACTCAAGTACGTCCATTCGCTACCCCAAGGCCTCATTCTGCCTTCTCAATCATATCCAAAATCATCCCATTCCTACACCTAAACCTCCCAGATCCCTCAATGCAGGATCTCACGTCGTGCCCCTAACAAACCTTCTCCCTATACTATTCATACGACATCACGATACGTATAAACACATCAACATCTGTCTTAAACCCCCAGGATTCTTCCTCAAAGACAACATTTAAGACAAGACTCTCTACACTTACCAGGAGGCTCCAGATACCATTTGCGACCAGTCAAGGTTAGTATCCACACACCATTCCAGTCCTCTAACTTTACCCTTTAGCATACTATCGAACTGGCTATACGGCACAGGCTAATGCCTTAGCCCACCCTATCAGGAAATCTGATCCCGCGAGGCCTACCACCCCCACCCCACCTCAACACGGAGGTACGGCCCCACGCCCAAATCATAGTTATAAGCCTCGCATGCCTTACTATAGGGCTCTAGTTAGGGCCTCACCTGTCACGGCCACACGTTTTGATTTCTCTTATCGTCACCGAGAGGCCAACATCCCGCCACCACGTCTGTGGCACCTACGTCATAAGCCAAATCATAGGTAGAGCCTCTCATCGCCACTTGGCATTAGCAGGGCCTCACCTATCCAGTCATTCAATAGTTAAGTTTTTCGCCTCGGCATCTAGCATTAAAGTCCAGTTCTTCAAGACACACCACTCCCCATACCCCCCCCTTCTTACCTCACTCCCCTTCTAATATATCTTTCACATAATCATTCCTTTTTAGAATGTCCCAAGAACCAATTCCAACCGAAGAACTGACAGAAGAAGCACCATTCACGCCAATCAGACCCGTGTCTCCAGGCGAATCACTCACTCTTTCAACCCCCACGTCCTTGAGAGCATGGACTATTCCCAAAATCACAGCCGAGCTTAGGCTCAGGGGAATCCCCTTTCCGGCCACAGCTAGAAAGGCAGAACTTTACAGGCTGCTTACCCACCAAGTCCCCGAGCCTCGGCCGGGAACTAGCTCTCAAGGACAACCACCAAGTAACAGCACGGCCACCCAGGATACCCTGGCAGATATCTTGGCCAATCTACAGGCCCTCAATAGCAGGCTGTCTAAGGTGGAGAGCGCCATCTCCTCCTCAGGTACTAACACCGTAGTCCCAGTCTCTACCACGGCTGTACCTGCCATACCTTCATGTCCCTCTATACTCCCCCCTCCAGCACCTGGCACAGCCATCACACCTTTCGAGTCACCAGCACACTCCGTCCCAGATTCTATCAGGAAAGATATCCTTGACGGGAAGGATGTGTGTCTGGTGTCTTTACTCATAGCCTCTCAGGATGTACTCGAGAACAAGGCATACAATTATGGTGACATCTCTGTTGTGCTTAAAACGAGGGATCCCAGGCTTAATAAAAAATTGTCTATCCCACAGTTTGTGATAGCTTTCGGGATATACCGCGACGTCATTTGCACGGTGTATCCCCATAGGAGAGAAGAGCTAGATCTCTATCTCCACAAGGTAGTGGATCTAGGCATCAAGTACGGGGGCTCTTCCTTCTATGACTACCACAAGTCAGTCTCAGCGAAGGCGGCGACCCATCTCAAGCAGTTCAACATTAGAATGAACTGGGGTCAGATGGACACTGAACTTTTCTGTCGCCACTTCGCCGGACTCAGGCCCCCGGCTTGTGCCATCTGTAATTCCACATCCCACATGGCGGACTTATGTCCCGTCGAACCAGATCCCACCACCTCCACTCTCACCCCTCACCCCACGTTCACACCTCACTCCTCTTTCACCCCTCACAAGCCAGCGGGTGGTCTCCGGGATAAGCTGGGTAGGCCCATCTCCTTTTTAGGTAAAGCACAGGTGTGCAATAATTTCAACGCAGGCTCCTGCAGTTTCAGCGCCTGTAGACTATTGCACATCTGCTCCATATGTTTCAGGGCACATACCAAGACCATGTGTCCAGCCAGGTTGTCACCAAACAAATGACTAACCGACATTAATATCGACAACCTGGTTTTTTATCTAAGGTGTCACCCCAGCAGGCACTTAGTGGATTTTCTCACCACAGGTTTTTCACAAGGGTTTCACACAGGCATAATAGCCATTCCCCCAGGTACACTAGAATGTCCTAATCTCCAGTCTGCACGTTTAGACCCAGTCGCTGTAGACACTCTCATTTCCGCAGAAACCACAAACGGTTTCATGATCGGTCCTTTCACCTCTTCACCGTTTTCCTCCTGGCGCACTAACCCTATTGGTATTGCTATTCACAAATATTCTAATAAAAAACGTCTCATTATCGATTTATCGGCACCGCACTCCTCTTTTGTTCCAAGCATAAACGCACTCATTCCAGCAGACGAATTCTCTCTGCAGTACGTCACCATCGACGACGCTATACAGTCTATCATGACATCTGGTAATCGACCCTGGCTCAGCAAAACAGACATCACTAACGCCTTTAAATTACTGCCCATACACCCCTCACTCTGGCACTTACACGGTGTTAAATGGCGAGGGTATTATTACTTCTCAACACGACTCACTTTTGGTTCCCGAAGCAGCCCCAAACTTTTCGACATTTTCGCTGAGTCACTATGCTGGCTGCTTCTGAATGTCATCAGGTGTCACTCCGTTATTCACTATCTAGATGACTTTCTACTGATAGAGCCAGGGTCATCAACACCCACAGCAATCAATAGTACTACCGCACTTTTTTCCACACTTGGAGTCCCTTTGTCCCCAGCCAAAACTATAGGACCCACCACAAAGTTGACCTTTTTAGGCATAGAGCTCGATTCTGTCAAACTCAGAGCTAGCCTTCCACACGACAAACTTTCACGATTGAGAGGGGAGATAGACACGTTCCTGCGGAATGACGTTTGCACCAGGAGAGAACTTCAGTCCCTTCTTGGATCTCTGAACTTCGCCATGCGCATCATTCCGCAGGGAAGGTCTTTTATTTCCAGACTTCTTTGCCTGCTCCATGGAGTCCCGGACTCCGGCACAGTTTCTTTGGACCCCCACGCCAAGGCTGACTTAGCTATGTGGGGGAAGTTTTTGAAAGACTGGAATGGTATCTCCATGTTTATCCCCCCTCTCTCCACCTCTTCACCCATCATCCACACAGACGCAGCAGCCAACACCGGTTTCGCAGCCATTTTCGGGAACCACTGGTTTAGGGGCCACTGGCCCACTGAGACGGATGCCTTGCCAGGATTCAGGGAAACCTCAACCCTATTTGAAATTTACCCCATTGTGGCGGCCGCACACACCTGGGGTCATCTCTGGTCCGGCAAGGCAGTAAAATGCTACTCAGATAACTCGGCAGCTTGCGATATTATTAACAAAGGGCGCTCATCATCCCTAACCATCATGCGGCTGATTCGCAAGTTGACCTGGCTGGCAGCATCCAATCAGTTTCACTTAGTATGTTCTCATATCCCGGGTATTCACAACACCGCCGCTGACGCTCTTTCTCGTTCTCGATTCCAGGCATTTTCTCAGGCACTCCCAGCAGCTCACCATCAGCCATCCAGGACACCACGGTTTCACGAACTAATATTGGATTAAGCACACTCTTGCTTCACGCTAGATCACTCACTCACCAAGCATTATCACCCAACACTGCTATCACTTACAATAGGGCACTTAACATATTTAACAAATTCACTGCAGAATTCGGGCTACAAGGTGACTTTTCTATCCAAACCATGGTGTCTTTTGCCTCTTTCTGCCACCTACACCTTAATCTGTCACACAACACCATTAAACTTTACCTCACCGGGGTTCAGCACCACAGCCTCACCAATTTTCCTAACAGCACCCCCTTTTTGTCTTCATACCCCATAAAAAAGGTCTTGAAAGGCATATCTAAGGTTTCACCACCACTCGCAAGCACTAGATTACCCATAGACGGGCCTATCTTCAGGTCTCTTAGCAATCTCCTTGACACAGCCCCATTTGATAGCTACACCAATACGGTGATAAAATCTGCCATATATCTCGCTTTCTACGGTTTTCTCAGACCTAGAGAGTTCACAGTGATTTGTCAAGGAGATATCGCACAATGCCTTAAAACTTCACACCTCACCAAGGTAGAGGATCACTACCTCCTCTCTATCCCTACCACTAAAACCAACCGGTCAATACATCCTACAATAATTCCTCTCTTCCCTACTGATAATGCCTGGTGTCCGGTGAAAGTTCTCGACCAACTACGGTCTACTTTTCGCACTCACCTGCCAGACTCTCCGCTCTTAACATTACAAGGGCACCCGCTTACCACGGCAAAATTGATGTCACATGTCAGAACCCTGTTATCTAAGCTCGGACACAATCCGGCTGCATTCTCCGGGCACTCCTTCCGCATAGGAGCCGCCTCAGTAGCCTCAAGCACAAACGCACCGGTCCACATCATCAAAAGGCTCGGGCGATGGAAATCCTCCATATATAACGCATATATTCCGCAACCAGAGAAAGAGCTTCGCCAAGCTTTCAGAAACTTGGTCTTGTAAAATGCAATAAAGTGTGTATTTTCTCGAATTTATCTTTTTGCCCTCTTTTATTTACAGGCCCACTCGTACGTTGGTTTCGGCACACCACAACCAACTTTGCTCACAGTTACTATCCATCACGTATTTAAATTCCGAGCACAAATATATATATATATATATATATATATATATATATATATATATATATATATATATATAGAAACAATCGCACTCTTGGAGCTTTCATCAGGACAGGTAACATCTCCATGTTGGAGCTGAAACGTTGATATTTTATATGGAATAAATAAAAGCTAAATTTTACTACTTCAACCAAGTTCAAAGAGTGCGATTGTTTCTACACCCATATCTACCTTTGCCACAACCAGCACCGGGCACTACAAAAGTCTTCTTGGAGTGCAAGTTATACGATGTGTGTGTGTGTGTGTGTGTGTGTGTGTGTGTATGTATATATATGTATGTGTGTGTATATATATATATATATATATATATATATATATATATATATATATATATATATATTGCCTGGCCAAAACAAAGTTGCCTCCTGGATTTAACTAAGCAAATAGGTAAGAGCCTCCTATTAGTTAATCCATGGGCGATTATCTTTCAGCTGGCAACAAGTTATTTAACCCCAACTGATGCAATGAGCTTCTCATTTCTTAAACAACCATGTTGAAAAACACATCCCGTGGTCGTGGAAAAGATGTTAGTCTGTTTGAGAAGGGTCAAATAATTGGAATGCATCAAGCAGAGAAAACATCTAAGGAGATTGCAGAAACTACTAAAATTGGGTTAAGAACTGTCCAAAGCATTATTAAAAACGAGAAGGATAGTGATGGGTGCATCAGGGTATGAAGAGAGGCAGATGAAGTGATGCACCCATCATGCCTAGTGCCAACTGTACAAGCCTATGGGGGCAGTGCTATGATCTTGGGTTGCTGCAGTTTGTCAGGTCTAGGTTCAGCAACTTTATGTGCCCAAAAAAATGAGGTCAGCTGACTACCTGAATATACTGAATGACCAGGTTATTCCAGCAATGGATTTTTTGTTCCCTGATGGCATGGGCATATTCCAAGATGACAAAGCCAGGGCTCAAATTGTGAAAGAGTGGTTCAGGGAGCATGAGACAATTTTCACACATGGATTTGCCACCACAGAGTCCAGACCTTAACCCCATTGAGAATCTCCGGCATGTCCTGGAGAAGGCTTTGCGCAGTGGTCCGACTCTCCGATCATCAATACAAGATCTTGGTGCAAAATGAATCCAACACTGGACAGAAATAAATCTTGTGACATTGCAGAAGCTTATCGAAACAATGCCACAGTGAATGCGTGCCGTAATCAAAGCTAAAGGCGGTCCAAAGAAATATAAGAGTGTGTGACCTATTTTTTTGGTGGTGACCTTTTTTGGGGCCCGGCAGAGAGAGAGAGTGAGTGAGAGTTAGAGAGAGAGAGAGTGCGTGTGTGTGTGTATATATATTTTATTTTTTATTTTATTTTTTCGAACAATAAAGCTGAAATATATTTAATTTCTCTTTAACTCAATTGTTAAAAATCAGAAATCATGTCCAATCACTACACTGATGGATCACAGGGAGAAGCAACAGAGAGGTCACCAGGGGCTACTATACCGCCCCCTCTTATCCATGGCCTCTGCAGAAAAAGAACTTGAACCATTTGCATGGTCCATTCAAATTGTTCCAGCACTCAGACACCCAGCCACCTAGCTACACTGTCTACATAGGAATTTGGGTTTCAAATAAGACCCAAATCCATCAAATTCAGCCTTTCCCATATCCTTGTTGCTATTGATGATGAGACATCAGTAAAAATCTTCTTGACTCCAAAGTGGCAACTAGTATCCAGAAGCAAATAGTTTTCCATGTATTCCTTTATATTCTACAGTGACAATCTTCCTGTATGTAAGGAGGTTTTATGATTTCTAGATATCTACAAAGTGAATGTATCCTACTCTGAGCTGATAAGCCTACTGCTTGCTAAATCGGTGAGACGTTAAAGGTTGCTAAGGTCAGACTGTGAGGACAGGAGTGATTGCTATTGGTCGAAAAGGGACTCTGCAAGAACCTTACATGTATCTGACAGAACACGACGCAAACAAAAGTGTTTTTTGCAAAATTAAATATTTACCTCTGGCCTAACTTGAAACCAAGGCCACCTCCTCTGTCACAGCTCCCCACAATCTGTGGACAGTTGATACACGACAACAGAATCTGATTCCATCCTGAGCCAAATCTCACACCTCTACAGAAATGGTTGTTTGTTTACTGAGCCCACTTGGTGACCAGGTAGCAAAATATGGAATCAAGGCATTTCAGTGCCACTTGCAATTTCCTTCTTTTACCAATTACTTTCTTTCACTAGCTGTAATGCTTTCTGTGGTAAATATAGAGCTGAACTGTATAACGAAAAACCTTTTCTGCTCAGGTGTCATCAGTAGAATAATACTACCACCAGGATTTGCTTAGTGTTTTAAATTATTTAAGTGCATAATTCTTAACCTTAGACGTATATAAACAAAAAGAATATGAGCATTGTAACATTTAATTTTGCTGTTTAATGTGAGGTTTAGAGTTTCCTCCCTTGTGAAAACAAATCCATTCATGAATAATCGAATAGCACAGTCCCTGTGTGCTTGTTGTGTTGTTTGCTTATTGCTTTGTAACTGCTATCACTGATATAGATCTAAACAGCATCCAAGCCCCTAACACGCAGAAAAGGACTTAGGCTATTAATTAATGGAAACGCTTTTATTCCAAGTTGCTAATTCTCCTCTAGGGAAGTTTCGCCCTAACAGTAACAGTAATCGCCATATTTTACCAGCGTTTCTTTTACTTTTTCCATGAGACATTCAGTTAGTCCTTTTAATAAACAGCCTATGAATGTGCCAGCAAGTAATGTGTTAACAAAAACTGAAAAGGGGTTTCCAGGACTCCCTAATAGCCAGGTGAGCACTAGCAGTGTTGTGAAATAAGAGTCTTAAACTGTTTTATAGCAAGAGAGGGACACAGACTGAGAACCCCCCACTGATACATCATTATGAAGGTAAATAAGAAGGTGGGGTACCGTTAAATGAATGCAGGGGTCTCCTGAACCCATCCATAAGAAGGAGACCACCTTTGGCTCCCTTCTATCCCCTTTTTAAATGTACAGTAAGGGAGGACTTATTAAAAGGTCTTGGTAATCCCCTCTTTTTAAGTGGGAAGCTAAGTCTCCTATTTGGTCACCAAATGTATATGAGTGGGCTGTTAATTAGCAGGATCTCCCCCTTTATTACACATGAAAACTGACTGGGGGAGCAGTTATATGAAATTATAAAATAGATTGCATGCGCTTTGCCAAGCAGCATCTCCATGGGGAGTGTTTGGTGCCTTTATCCTGAGCATGAAGACAGCGTATATTAGGCCTTCAAATATTGCAGAACCACACAATGAAGCCCCTCTAGCAGCTCTCAGAAAAGGCAGTGTAGAAAATGCTGAGACTGTCTCTTTGCCCCATTTAGACTGCAGTGGTTTTGATGCATAGTGTCCCTTTAATTTCAAATCATTTGTCTTCAACTCTGCTGTTTTGGCCTTACATTTGAAATTCATGTTGCATTCACAACAGCCCATACTTTAGTGAGTCCATCTGTTAATGGTTGATCATTCTTTTAAATACTGTACCCCCTGCACAATAATTGCTGCTACAGAGTTAATTCTGATGTATAAACATTTTAAAATACTTGGTATCTGCTAAATAAAATGGTTAAATCCATTGCAAATTGCCCCAAATTCTTAAACAATAAATTATGTTTTGTTTTTTCTCTGCAGGTCTTGTCCATCTCACAATGACATAGAAGTTCTGGAAGATGTAAAGGCTGTTCGTCAGCTTCAATAATTCTCTTCTAAACCGTGTAATAAACCCTAGAATTTTATGGATACTCCTTTGGCAATACTATGCTAAGCTGTAAGATATTTTATGTTTAAAGACTCTTTTAGGATAATCAGTGAGTCCACAAATATTGTAACGTGTGTTTAAAAGTGGGCCTCCAAACCAGGACTGTATCAAAATAGGTTAGTAAGCATATGCCATGTTTATCTTGCATTAGAGATCAACATAGAGGCTTCAAATATCTATCTATAAATCTATCTATCTTATACATTGGAGATTAAATTTAATGACTTCAATGTCAACATATAAGGGGTCTATTCACTAAAAGTTGAGTAAACGAACACCTATATCTACAAAGGTTTACAAGAAGTGAAACTAATATACAGCCTGGCAATAATAGTAGCAGTTATACATAATACATGTGTCAAGGTCTAAACCTGTAAGTACCAGTGAGTGATCCTGCAATGAAGTGATACAAAGTAGATATACTCACAACCTAGTAAGGTTAACCCCTACGTCTGAATAGAGAAAATCTAAAAAATGAGCTGCACCAAGCTATACTGGTATAAAAGTGATAAAAGAGCTTTATTGAACATGGCCCTAAATGTAAAATCTACCAGGAAACACTCTTATTAGATGAATGCTCATTACATTTAGGTTGTGTGTGTATATCTACTTTGTATCACTTAAAGGGACACTCCAGGCACCCAGACCACTTCAGCTTATTGAGTAGTCTGGGTGCCGTGATCCTTTTGCACTTAGTGTAAAACATTGCAGCTCTCAGTCTGCCCTGTAGTGGCTGTCTACCAGACAGCTCTCAGTCTGCCCTCTAGTGACTGTCTACTAGAGGGCTTCCGGAATCCAAACCGACGGTTATCTGATGCTGGACGTCCTTATGGACCTCCAGCGTCAGATTTTCCCCATAAGAAAGCATTAAATAATGCTTTCCTATGGGGAGGTCTAATGCACACGGCCATTGCCACGCATGCACGTTAGTTGGCTGACATTGGTGGGGGAGGAGTGTGGGCGGAGCCTCACCTAGCGCCCAGGGACATCTGCGCTGGTTTCAGGTAAGTAGCTAAAGGTGTTTTAACCCCTTCAGCAACACTGGGTGCGGGAGGGAGGGGGACACTGTAGGATTCTTTAGTGCCAGGAAAACGGGTTTGTTTTCCTGGCACCGGAGAGTCCCTTTTAATTGCAGGATCACTCACTAGTACCCATTCCGCTACAGGTTTAGACCTTGACACGTATTATGTATAACTGCTTCTATTATTGCCAGGCTGTACATTAGTTTCCGTTCATGTGAACCTTTGTACATATCCGTGTTCCGTTTTTTGAACTTATTTCAGGTTAAGCCCTGAGAGACCCCTGGAGTCTCTCATTGGTGCAAAGGATAATTGGAACAGCTTGGACACAAATACTTAGCACTGTGTCTTATGCTATTTCCGTTATTTAACCTGTCTTGTGGATATTATAGTAAAGGAACACTCTGTGGACCATTACCAGTTAATCGAAAAGTGGTCCTGGCACTGGCTCACGTTAGGGAGTTAAACTGCTCTGGAATGGTTTAACCCCAAAATCTTTGTTCCAGGGCAGAAGCTCCTTGCCTCTCTGCTTTCTGTTTTCTAAAATTCTCTGAAACAGAAAGCTTTTACAGAATTGGGCAGCGACACTGCTGATTGGCTAAGAGGAACGTTAAGCAAAGTTACACAGAGTAATCCAGGTAAGCACTTAGCTATGGTTGTCTAAGTTGTCAAAGTAACGTCAATATGATTCATTAAAGCTGCCTCTTGTTACCTCCAGTTCTTATGCTTTTAGATTTACTAATTGCATTTCTGAAACCGCTCACCAAGTAAAATCTTCTGTTCCAAGAAAATGTGATTGGAGTTTGTTGCATTTGTTATTGATGAATTTATGACTTTTCATTATATTTTTATGATTTTTTTTTAAGCAGAAAGCATATTCCTGCTCAATAATTGATGAGTTGGCAGGTTCAAAAGTAAATAATGTTTTTATCTGCCATAAAGTGCATCAATGCAAAAATGGTTAATTTCTCTCTAGTAAGTGTTGCCAAATTGCTTTGATTCAATATCCCTTGTGATTTTCTTAGACCTGAAATATTCAGTTTCTATCTAAATACCCTCCTGTTTGTGAGATCATTGCTGTTTAAAAGTTAATAGGGTGTTATTCAGCTATTATTTTTAAAAATTCTTTATTTGTATTACACATAAGGAGGACGTCCGATGAAGCATAACAAGAAGATAAGTGGGAGTCTTGCAGGACTCCTAATACATTTCAAACCATAAAATAAGTGTTTTTAACATAATCATCATAAACTAATTTCAGGTAGAATATATAGAAGTTCACATGTAGAAATCATGATCAATGAACTTGGTCTATAATATGTGTAATTAAAAATGTAATCAAGAAAGAGAAAAAGGGAGAGAGAAAGTGTTGTCACCACGCTTATCTGCCTCCCAGATCTCATAGGCCTACTCACATCACAGAGATCAAAACTGGAAAGGAGAAAGAGACATGTCTAAGCACGTTGCCCGGGAAAGATGTGGAATGAAGGTTATTTATTATTAAAGAAACTCTAGATCCATACGTCTATTAGACAAGACAATTTATTTAGAACGTTTGTAGATTTCCACAGACTATCATGAGAGCGAGATTGCCCTAGGTTTTGAGCTCCTGTCTATAGCTAGGCATGAGACTACATTACAATTACCTCCTATCAAAAGAGGGTCTGACACTGAGTGAGTGTTAATGTCCCAAAATATAATATCTGGAACGTTGGGTGCGTAAAGATTGAAAAGGTGCAAGTTGTGGGAACCTATTTTTCCTGATATTAATAGGAATCTCCGTTCATTATTGCATTTTCAGCTATTTTTTACATCATCTAAGTTTGCTTAGAGAACGGCACTCACAAGTTTATGTACATTCTACAGGTGTCAAACAACCCAAAAAAAGACACGGCCTCTGATACGGATCAACCAAACATTGTGTAAAAAATATATGCAATGTCAAGAGTGACAACGTGTCAGCTCCAACAAACTTTTATTAGTAATTTCAGGCATTATATATGCTTGGTATAGCCACAATGTTGACTTTCTCTCACCTGAAATAACATCCATTACACTGTCACAAAATTCCTTGCAGTTATGGTTAATTTATTTTAATGTATTGTCTAAATTTGTTTGACAAAAAAATTGTCATTACATAAAGTAAAAAAACAGAGAGTGCTGTGGATTAAACCATAGCAAACTAATCGTGTAATTCAATTTTATTCACAATCTTTAGCAAAAATTACATTATCACAACAAATATGCTGGAATTCTCCCGAAACACATAACGACGAAGCAGCATTAAAACGCAGTTATCAGGTCACCTTACATATTGAGCTGTTAAGTGCTGCTTCAGTGGAGGAGCCATTTAGAGGTCATATTAAGCACCATAGCCACTACAGCCCTGTGTAGTGGTTATAGTGCCAGGAGTGTTTTTGAGCCTTCCTGTGGTAAGCCGACAAAACTTTTCAGCATGGTTTGACAACTTACCCGGGTAAGGCCCTATACTAAATAGAGAAAACTAATTACTAGTCCTTAATATGGGTAAGTGTAGAACACAGTCTGATAATCAGACAAAAGGTAAAGCAGTAAACAGAGCCCCAACACCAGACTTGTAGAGACGGGAGATTTTATTCCAGCAATAGTTAGACCTTATTAGGTATTTGTTTAGCATTAAATAGGGACAGGCCAGGGTGAGGGATGTACAGTTTAGTTTTTTCTCGTTTTTTTTTCCTTTTTTCTTATTTTTCATTATGTGCCTTAAAAGCTTTTTTAACTGTATGACTCAATAGATTATACATTGTTAGACACTATCATGTCTATAGGCATAAACAAAACTATATATTTACAAAAACACAGTCCACTGCCTAAAAAAAAAAAATCATGGTTTATTAGATACCCTGAATGAAAACATGCGTGCTTTTTTTTTCATTGGGGATATATCTAGATACCATTGCAAAAGCTGTAGATCTCTTGTCTAACGCGTTTACAAGCCCTGCCCTTCTTACTATGCCCAGACTTTCTGTGGCTGTCCTATCACAGGCTTCCCAACGCAGCTCAGTGTGAAGTCTTTGCAAGGCAGGTGCTCTGAGCAGTGGTCTGCTTCTTGCGTTTAGCTCCACTGAACTAAACAACCCTGACGTAACCAGACCAGTTGTCTGATTTACAGCCTGGGGGAGTGGGGTGTAGTAAGGTTTCTATTGAAATCTGCACTTTTTATAAGAAGAAAGAGGACACAGACTTGAGCAGGCTGATGTGTTGTAAGGTATCCCTTTAATATTTTTGGATAAACTTTTAATATGATTTAATATTTTGAAGAATGTTTTAATTTGTTGATATACCAACATGTTTTGTTATACACATAAAGCACGTTAGCAAGCTGAAGTACTCTTGGAGGTCTGGAGTCTCCCTTTTAAGTGGATTATGTTAACTTTTTCTTCATGGAGTTTGTGGGGGGAGATCATTGATATTCAGGGTTACTATAAGAATTTTTTATTTTTTTATTTAATCTGAAAAATAGTAATCAGAAACTAAAAAAGTAATCATCTGCTTGGGCAGGTAAGTGGCCAGTAAACCCTACTACCTTTCCCTTTTTTATAATCAAGGTTAATGGGATTGAGAATAGGGGTTAATGTTCTTCATAAATTATAAGACTGAATATAGCCTTAATGTTTTTTAGTGCTACCCCCTTGTACGCAGCTGTACTTGCAAGTGACCGTAAATCAAGCAGATGCACCGATCCTATAGGACTGTAGGAATGTAACAACCTGTAATAGTTTTGATTATATTCAGGTTTATGTATGTCATTTTAATTGTAGCAGCATTGCAATGCACCACACATCTTGGAACCTTTGCCTGACTCAGGAGAACAGCGTGAGGCTATTATCTCTGGCTATTAATGCAGTCCCAAGGGAGGTAATTGAGATTTGCTAATTAAATCATAAAATTTGTTTATCTGCGATCAGGAGACCACAAAGAATGTATTATAATAGTAAAATATGTACTCGCTCTTCTGGCTTGGTAGAAGGTTTTTTTCTTCTGTTGGTGAACTATCAATTCACTTGATAAATTGTTCATATTCCAACAAGGAGTATCAAAAATATGTCAAATGTCAGTCCAGTCATTTGTAAAACTACAAAAGTCAATAAAATATAAAAGTACTACCTTGCTATCTCAAGACGTGTTGTTTGGACCTTCAACCACCAAGTAAAATAGTGAACAATCTAATCTAATATTTATTGGAACATACTCCTTGGTGATCACCAGACCTTCTGCCATGGACTTATTATGGTATAGTTCTATTCGGACTGTGCCACGCTCCAAGTACTTTGGGACACTCTTGGGAGACATACAAGGGGATCCTTTCAGAAAAATGTCTGCTCTTTATTAAACAGAACAAGGGTTTTAAGACTAGCAATAAGGGAAGTCAAGGGGGAGTATTGTTGATTACCAATGAAATATTGACAACTATTAACTAACATTATGGACAGTTCGTTGATACAGCATACACTAAGCTTGCAAAAATTCATAGCGCTAACATTTAGCTAGGGGTGTAATACGGGTGATCTTCTTAGAATAGACGTATGTGACATGGACCTCCTTGCAATATATAAGGCTGTTATTCTTAGAATTTAGCTAAACAGTAATTAACACTCTTTAATATTCTTTAGTAAACAGACACACCAGCAGGTCGCAAAGAGAGTTATGTGCATATTTGTTTTTGCTTCCTGCCACTCTTAATTAATATTTAATAATGGAAGCACTAGCTGCAATGCAATCATACAATCATGACCAACTCCTATATATTTGTTTACATTTCATATCTTTTTAAAGTGGTTGCTGGTACTTTTCTGTGCGTATCAGAATATTTGTTTGTTTTTTTACTTTTACTTTTATCTGTTTCCTTTAATCTAAATTAAACTGCACAGACTGCCCAGTAAAAAAAAATGTATCTGTGCAAAGGGTTAAATCCATTAACATAGACCCAAACATGGCCCAAAACAAGCAGCTGTGCCAGTTCCCCTGAGTCAGTTGGATGCAGAGAGTATATTCTGAGCAAAGCTCCGGAGAGTATGTTGGTCACACTGTACAAATTATAAAATTGCATTGTTAGAGATGTATGCCCGTTTTACACTGGCTAATATTATAATCTTAACTTGTCATTTTCATAGTAACTGTGCAAATTTTATGTTGAATCAGGTGTTCATTAAATGGAAACCTAACTATTGATTTAAAAACCTAATTGTAAGACTTTAAAGGGACACTATAGTCACCAGAACAACTACAGCTTATTAAATTTGTTCTGGTGAGTATAATCATTCCCCTCAGGCTTTTTGTAGTAAAACACTTTTTCAGAGACAACGCAGTGTTTACATTACAGCTTATTGATAACTGCACTGGCCACTCCTCAGATAGCTACTAGAGGAGCTTCCTGGGGCAGTGCTGCACAGTGTGACTGCCATTCAGTGTCTCCTCCCTCTGCATGCAGACACTGAATGTTCCTCATAGAAATGCATTGATTCAATGTATCTCTATGAGGATATGCTGATTGGCCAGGGCTGTGTTTGGCTTGTGCTGGCTCTTCCCCCGATCTTCCTCCATGACAGTCTTCCTATGTTAAATCATTGTGATTGGTATTGATCAACACTTCTGATGATGTCAGGCAAGCAGAACGATCTGGGGATTAGCTAGCAGCAGCAGACTGGAATAAAGGGAAGATTATGCTATAATTAGGAGGTGAAGGGGAGGCCAGGGGGGGCTAGATGGGGGTTTTAACACTATAGGGTCAGGAATACATGTTTGTGTTCCTGACCCTATTAAATGGAAACCTAACTATTGATTTAAAAACCTAATTGTAATATAAAATTAATTTTATAGCTGTTCCTTTAAATACAGTAAACTGCAGTTGGGATCCCTGTATGTACAAAATTAGTCTAAATTAACCATCTGTGCTTTTACTGACCACTGTTGTATAATCAAATTCAACCGTTCCAGTATAACAGCTTTTTTTTTTTTTTAAAAACAAAACTTATTTATTAACCCCTTAAGGACTGGACTGTTTTTGCGATGTTGTACATTTGCGACCAGGCATATTTTTACACTTTTGTGGTGTTTGTGTTTGGCTGTAATTTTCCGCTTTCTCATTTACTGTTCCCATACAAATTATATATTGTTTTTTTCAGGACAAAAGGGGCTTTCTTTACATACCATTATTTATATAATCTCATGTATTTTAATTTAAAAAAAATAAAAAAATCTGATGAAAAATTGAAAAAAATACATGTTTTTTGACTTTTACTTGAAAAATCTTTTACTCATCTACAAAAGCGAATGAAAAAAACTGCTAAATAGATTCAAAATGTTGTCCTGAGTTTAAAAATACCTAGTGTTTACGTGCTTTTTTGCTTTTTTTTGCATGTTATAGGGCTATAGGTACAAGTAGGATATTGCGGTTTCAAAACATACATTTTTAAAATTTATCAATAGTGACATTGTAACACTATTATCTGTCATAAATCTCTGAATAACACCCCACATGTACATATTTTTTTTAAAGTAGACAACCCAGGGTATTCAATATGGGGTATGTCCAGTCTTTTTTAGTAGCCACTTAGTCGAAAACACTGGCCAAAGTAAGCATTCATATTTGTTTGTGTGTGAAAAAAGTAAAAAAACTAAATTGAACGCTAATTTTGGCCAGTGTTTGTGACCAAGTGGTTACTAAAAAAGACTGGACATACCCCATTTGCAATACCTTGGGTTGTCTTCTTTTGCAAATGGTATGCCATCATGGGGGTAATTCTCATTCCTGGGCTACCATACGCTCTCAAAGGCAACGTAACCAACCTGGCCATTTTCAATGTAAAAATATTTGACCCATATATTTGACCTTGTAACTTTCAAAAATGCTATAAAACCTGTACATGGGGGGTACTGTTTTACTCGGGAGACATCGCTGAACACAAATATTAGTGTTTAAAACTGGAAAACGTATCACAACAATTATATCATCAGTAAAAGTGCTGTTTGTGTGTGAAAAATGCAAAAAAAGTAACTTTCACTGACAATATCATCACTGTGATATGTTTTACTGTTTTGAATCACTAATATTTGTGTTCAGCGAAGTCTCCCGAGTAAAACAGTACCCCCATGTACAGGTTTTAGGGTGTCGTAGAACGTTACAGGGTAAAATACAGTGCTAGCAAATTAAATTCTCTGGAATTTCGGCCTGGGTTGGCAGGCAGGTCCCTCAAATTGCAATCAATAAAATTACTGAATTATGTAAAAATATTACATAAATACGCACGTAGAATTTAAATATATATGCATATTTATATATTTGAAGTCTACGTGTATATTTATATAATTATTTATGTAATTTTGTATATGGACATATGTATATTTCTTATTATTTTTATTTATTTTTATATACATAGATATATATACAAATTCATTCTAAGTGTATTTTGATATAAATATATATATATTAATTTTAAAATACAGTTAGAATAAAATTTCATATAGCTATATAATTTTTTTTTAATTTTTTATTATTATTTAAAAAATTTTTTATTTAATTTAAATTACTTATTATTTATATTTTATAATAATATATATATACAATATATATAGTTATTATATATATTATATATATACGTGTGTAATTTAATTATAAGTGTATTTTTATATTAATATAAGTACATATTAATATAAAAATACACTTAGTATGGCATTATATATATGATATATAGACATATATTATATAGATATAATATATGTCTATATATCATATATACACATATATAATTATTATTATTTTTTTTATTAACACTAACTTTATTTTATTTTTTGATTTTACACTAGCAGGGAGACTGCCTGTCAGCACAGGCAGTCCCCCTGCAGGCAGCACTATGGACACCTATTGTGACCATGTGATCGCTGTGTTAAGCGATCACATGGCCACAGGGGTCCTAAATCAGTGTGGGGAGACTGTCTGGGCTGCAGGCAGTCTCCCACAACCGGAGCAACGCTGATCGCCGCCGGGGGAACGACGGCGATCAGGTAAGTACCCCCAGACCGTTAGGACGGTTCAGGACCGTCATCGGTCCTCAAGGCAAAAATGCCGATGACGGTCCTGAACCGTCCTCGGTCCTTAAGGGGTTAAACTAACTTCTTAAAAAATATACCAAACTGTATATGATCATGTCATCATCCTTCCTTATCTAAGTTCCTCTCCGGGAAAGCTCATGGTTTTTTCTCTAAACACAGAGTTATTCACTAAAGTAATATTTCAAAGTGAATTCAAGGTGAATTTCCAATTTTAGGCCAAAAAAGTCTCTAAGTCAGAATTGTTTCCTTTTTGACTACCCTGGCCTTATAATTGGAATTTTCACTTTAGTAAATAAGCCCTGTGTTATTTGCTTCACCATTTCCCTTCCATGTGTGATTCTGCCAAATTCTGGACACAGTAATCAATGAGAGAAATTACTAGAGTATGAACAAGCTACTTAGCAACATTTTGCATAAGAAAGGGGCAGACACGGGCAATGTTTTTAGGGTTGAATCAACAGGTTCTAGCAATAGACTGGACGTGAGCCATAAAGGTGAGGCCAGGATCAACGCTAATGCCAAAACAGCAAGCTTGCAAGGGCTGATGGGGGTACGAAAAACTTGCAGGGACGTGAAGAGTTGGAGAAATATGAAGCTCCGGTTTAGAGATATTGAGTTTCAGAAAGCGGGAGGACATCCAATCAGAGATGGAAGAACGGCAACTTGTGACGTGTTCTTGGACAGTGAGGGAGAGATTAGGGGAGAAGAAATATATCTGGGTGTCATCACATACAGGTGGTAGCAGAATCCAAAGGGACTAATAAGTTTGCCAAGAGAGGCAGTATAAAGAGAATACGAAAGGAAACCAAGAACATGGGGGACTCCAACCGAGAAAGGACAAGGGGAGAGGGTGTCATTAGAACAGGAGACACTGAATGAACGTTGGGAGAGATAGGAGGAGAACAACAAGAGGACAGTGTCACAGAGACCGAGGGATTGAAGAGTTTGATCAACAGTGTCTAAGATCACAAATTCTACCTTTGCATATGGATTTGCCTGTAAGACTTGGTAGCTTGGTAGTCCTGAGTAAACACTTAAGAGTGCTGTTTGGAACACAGGCTGTAAGAGAGAGTCTGAGGTTAGATAAACTAGCAAGTATGGGTGGAGAGGCATGCAGATATTGGAGTGAGAAAAATCAACCAAGGAAAAAAAGCAGAGGAAAAAATATTTGAGATCTCTAGATATGAGGGAATGGAAGACATCAAACAGGTAAAAGACATAAATGGTAAACATAAATTAACAAGACTATATGTGCAATAACACTAACAAACATTTAACAAAGGAAGAGTTGAGCATGGAAGGAATAGTGTTCCGTTAAACAGTAATACTACGGGGCGGGGCCTGACAGCCAAGATGGCCGGTCGTGCTTTCTGAGAGCTCCTGCAATAGAGGGCACAAAACCGCCAATTCTGCATGAACTACTGGTGCTAGCAGAAAACGGAGTCCAGGGAACAAACCAGAATCACACGGGGCACACAATGATACCTGACCCGCATCGAAACCACATAAACACAAATGGACCGACCATGAGGCCTACTGCGGAGCAGGACCTGCAGCTTGGGGGAGGCGGCCGATCCCCCGACACAGGACACACTCGCAAGCAAACAATCGACAGGGCCCTGCAACCCCCCCCCCTCTGGACCGGTGGGGGTTATCCCGGTCCTCGCCGGGGGCGACTAACCCCACACTACAGCCGGACACGCAACGGCTCCGGAATGCCCCTGAGACTGAGGCGAAGATGGCGCCCAAGCAACACAGAGGGAGCACAAAGGAGCCAAAAACAAGCCTCATTAACCCAGCTGACTACACAGCACGGCTAAACAAAATCTTCGCAGCATTCTGGCGCAGGCTGGCACGGCGCCTATGCACTCAAGCCGAGATCAATCGGGTAACTCACCCCTCACTGCGACCACGAGGAGGGCACAAAATGGCCGACTCACAGAGGGCACAGCAAAGCAAGCACTCCCGTCCGCCCCAAAAAGCCCGACAGCGATCCCACTTAACGGCTCGGAGCAACAAATCCCCTTCTGGGCAGGAGAGCATACCGGACCAAAACCCGACCCACCGTCCACACACCCAAAGGGGCATCAGGAGATTGAAGCTCCGGAGGGCCCACAGTCCCCCCACGTGTGGGAGAAGGACCCGAGGACGCAGGGAAGTGCTCCCCGCTACAACCCGGGCTGGAGGATTCGAGCATGCCCAGCCCCACTATAACAGCCGGTCGGGATGGGACCGACCAAGGAGCACCCACATTATACACACAGCACCCCAGAGATCATTCACTCAAGGGACTGTAACACCCTGCATGAAGCCGACCATAGCGGCTCCCAGCCAGACACCTTCATCAACTGCAACACCCATACACAAGCGGGGTATCGGCTGAATAGGCCACACTGGGGATGCACCAGCCCTTCACCGCCGGGCGCAGGCAGGCCGGAAGACCGACACGCGAGCTATGCATACTAGCATGCTGAGACTTTCTCCTGCAGACACCGTCGAACAGGTCTTACCTAGTGGGCACACCTCAGATATATTTGATATACCTGAACTAATGTTACGTTGTGTTATTTCATTTTTTTTAAGTTTGCATATATTACTGACGCAGGGTGACCCTACCGCAACCCAACTCTGCAAATGGACGTTGCCAGCCAGCAACCAAAATGTTCCTGTACCTATAGTATGTTGAGAGCCTATGTTTTCCATGCCTACTAGCCAAACCATTTACAGCATAAAGTGTCTATGCATAGTTGTGTAAACTTATGGTTATAACTGTTCAAGCCTGTTTCTAGCTTAACTTAATTGACGACAAAGCTTAAAGGACGAATTAACTAATGTTGATACTTGCATGACATATACTACTAGATTGCCTTACTACGTTTAAAAAATGTTTTAAAAAAAACGTGCTTTTACTTCTATGCCACATATGTATAAACCTATGTTATTGATGTGATTATGTTTGCTGTTGTGGCAACGTATATCATACTGTCAAACCATGCACAACAAAAATAAAAAAAAAAAAAAAAAAAAACAGTAATACTACAGGGGAGGGAGGTAGATAGGAAAACAAATGAAATATATAAATAAAGTAAGTTAGATGGGTTTTCTTGGGTAGATTTTCCAGAAATTCTACCTTTGCATAAGGCTTAAGCTGCAAGATTAGAATTATTTATGTTAACATGAAATCATGGCTGTTATGGTATTTTTAAAGCAGTCTGCAGTAAATAGATTAATGGCAATAACCAGTGATTCATTGTATTCGTACGTGGTGTAAGAGGCTTGTTTTTATTATCGATTAGGCTAGAATGCAATAGAAGCAGTGTAGTGGATTATTTTATCGGTCATGCATAAAAAATTCTACCTGTAATGGACTGGAGCTTGCAATCATTTTTATGATACGTCTTGTTGCACACACTTATTCTGTAGAATCGATTACAGTGACTGATGGTGTTCATGAGACTAATGTAGTTGTGGGAACATTATAAATTGAGCTTCCTCTGTGCTGTGTCAACTGCCCCCAACTGCATATTTCTAAATGAATCCTATTAAACAAACCTTAATTAGAATCCTAGGTGAACAGAGAAATTTAAATGTACAGTGATTTAACTTTAGCAGATTTTATGACGAGTGCATTGACTGGTGCAAAGTGTACTTTTACAAATTATCCAAGACATTGTTCAGTTAGTTTTAATAAAACACAAGCAGTTACATTTTCATGTGTTGCAGCGATATCGTTTGACTAGAAAATTAGATTACACAAGACAAAAGCTGAAATAAAGAAGCACTCTGGATGCCATAACCACTACAGCTTACTGTAGTGGTTGTGGTCCGACAAAACTGTGAGTTGGGCATACAGCCCAAGTGCCTCTGCTGCAGCTTGGCAAATTAAAGGGATACTATAGTCAGCAGAACAACTACAGCTTATTGAATTTGTTCTGGTGAGTAGAATCATTACCTTCAGGCATTTTGCTGTAAACACTGTCTTTTCAGAGAAAATGCAGTATTTACATTACAGCCTAGTGATAACTTCACTGGCCACTCCTCAGATGGCTGTTAGAGATCCTTCCTGGGTCATGGCTGCCTAAAATGCATCCAAACATTCAGTATCTCCTCCCTCTGCATGCAGACACTGAACTTTCCTCATAGAGATTCATTGATTCAATTCCTCTCTATGAGGAGATGCTGATTGACCAGGGCTGTGTTTGAATCATGCTGGCTCTGCCCCTGATCTGCCTTCTTGTCAGTCTCAGCCAGTCCTATGGGGAAGCACTGTGATTGGATCAGGCCACCACTTCTGATGATGTCAGCAGACTGCTTGTTTTTCTGAGGCAAACAGCATGCAGAGTTACAGCTTTAATACAGTAAGATTGTGCTATATTTATGGAGGCAAGAGGGGCCCAGGGGGGCTAGATGGTGGTTTTAACACTATAGGGTCAGGAATACATGTTTGTGTTCCTGACCCTATAGTGATCCTTTAAGTGAACTTCTTCAGTAGCTTGGCCAACTTTGAGTAGCAATGACTGGCTGAGAGTCCTGAGCCAACCCATCACCATCAGTCTCAGCCATGGAGTTGGACAGGCTTTAGGTGCCCAGAGATAGTTCTTTATTATTTATTTTTGTTGTTGTTGACTACTTTGACACAAACTAGAATTTCTCCCCCCGACTCTATGTTCCAGTAATGAGCTGAAGTGATTATGGTGCTCAGTAAGCCCATTAAAGCTTTATCTTATTTAATCATAGATTTCATATTTGTCAGAAAAACTGTTACAATTCTTAATTCTAAATTTTGTTGTAATATGATTTTTAATGGGTAATGAAAAGTCATAGATGTGCTTTGACTAAACCTCCCATACAGCCAGCCAGGCAGTGAAAGGGTTACATTTTGCAGATTTGGAGCAGCGAGCATTTTATTCAAAACCCAGCTTCAGCCAATCAATATTTATGATGGAGAGAACTTGCTTCATGTAAATAACTTCCGCCAACCCTGCATAAAGAAGGGATATTTTTGTTTCTAATAAAGGACAAAGATGCACTTTGCAGGTGCCTGTAATTCTGCCAAATCAGAATTATGTATGCCCAGTATGCATGCAGGGAGACTTAAACAACGAGACCAAAAGAAAACTGAATAAAACATCAAGAAATGTAGCGAGAAATAGAGGGAGAGTACGATGGATGATTCGAAGAATGAATAGATGGGTTGGGGGATGGATGGTTGGTTGGTTGAGTAGATGGGTGGATGGATAGATAGATGGATTTTTGGTTAGTTGATTGGTTGATTGAGTAAATGGGTGGGTGCATAGCTGGCTGGATGGTTGGTTAGTTAATTAATTAATTGGTAGGTTGGTTGATTGATTGAGTAGATGGATGGGTAGGTGGCTAGTTGGATGGTTGGTTTGTTGGTTAATTCTTGGGTGGGTGGATGAAGGAATGGGTGAGTGGGTGGATAGTTGGAGGGATAGATGGGTTGATGGTTGGTTAGTGAATTGGTTGATTGAGTTGATCAATGGGTGGGTGGGTTAATGGATAGGTAGGTGGATAGAGGAATGGATAAGAGAGTGGATAGTTGGATGGGTGGATGAATGGATAGATGGGTTGATGGTTGGTTAGTGAATTGGCTGATTGAGTTGATCAATGAGTGGGTTGGTTAATGGATAGGTAGGTGGATAGAGGAATGGATAAGAGAGTGGATAGTTGGATGGATAGATGGATTGGTTTAGGTCCATCTTCAGACACAGTAACAGCTACTGACCCTTGGGTATTTCAGTCACGTTGATTGGAATTACATACTCTGCATTCACTGCTATACTCCAAACATGAATGAAGTATATTTTTAGTTACATTAATAAAGATATTACATTAATATTACATGTCCGTTGCTGTTTTCCATGGACAATGTAGCCCTGCAGGAATCTATATTTAAAAGCATCATTTGAGATACATCTGGATTTCTATAAACTATTACCGTCCATATGTTTAAGTTTGACCACAAATTGATCACTGCTAAAAGGTTAAGGAATGGTATCTCTTCTTCCAAATACATTTTCCACAAATTAGGTAAACAAATGTAAATCGATCATATGGAAGAAGAGCTTTGAGGCATCATTGAATAGAATATATCTAAAATAACAATTAGATAAAACTGACTCTATTTAAATAAGGTTTTCAATTGCAGTCCATTTGTAGTGCTGAAAATTCTTTCTACACATTGTGATGGCTAAACAGCTAGCAAACGTACATGTAAAAAGCTAAGTATAGGTAAACGGCTAGCAAACATATAGGTAAAACGAGAAATTACTTTACGATCTATTTGTACATGTTTGATGGCAAATGTACGGAGTATCTTGGCCTCATAAAAGCTATACGTGTGTCAAGTGGATACACAACTGTGTACATTGGCTTCAATGTAATATATTGGATAAGCTTTTCAAATTATGTGATATTTTTAAACAAAATAATAAAATATCAAAAAATATATCCTATATAAAAAAGATATCATTATATAAAGAAAATCAAATGATTAAAATGTGTTTTGAAATATTAAATCATTTTAAAAGTTTATCCAAAAATATTAAATCGCAGCCATTGCAAGATACTGTGCTACGTACTGGCATATGGCAATAGTGTGTGAGGCCACTTAAAACTATTTTCAGCAGCCCTCAATAATATACATTTTATTTATTCAATCAAGTTGCTTTTCTGCAAAAATATCTGTTTTTTAAGCAATATACCATTAATTCTTAAAAATTCAACACACTAATCCTATTGCTTTTTCTGACTGCACAGTTTACCTTTTCCTCTTTAAATAGTATTTATTTATTTTTCTTTGGTTTCCTATTGTCAGTAAAACAAAAAGAAGCCTTCTAAACAGGATTTCCTTTAACGTCAGGAGGTATAGAAGAAAAACTCACAGGACAGTCCACAGGAAATTCTAAGCATCGCTCTTTTTTCACCATACAAATGAGAAAGTAAAACCAGTGGGCAATTCAGATATTCTGGGAAGTAAAAAAGATAAAACAAAACATTTTAATCTCATACTCACCAAAACTAAATACAAGAATGATAACCCAACAAAATATCCTATTTAGTATTTGGGAATAGACATATAAACCAAGCATTTTAAGACAGCATTTCATTTTCTATAATAGAAGCACTGCACCTGCTAGGGGTAACATAATAGCCATAATAACCATAAGTCCATGACTTCGCACTAGTGCAGGGGTAGGTAACCTATGGCACGTGTGCCATCCACGGCACTCAACGTGTCTTTGCACGGCACTCAAGGCTGCTAGAACCAAACAAGCCTCTCTGTCCTATCTGGAGTCCCAGTGAAACTTACGATATCTGCTAATACGAAAAGGTGGTTGTAGCGGATCACTGGTAACCCGACCGATTACCTCCGCTAATTCCTTTCCTTCAGCCGATCAGGAGCCATTTAAAATACAAAGAGCCCCATCTTCCCCCAGTAACTGGACGACACACATTCCTGGAGGTACAACAACCACTTTATTTGCCACACACGGCTTTTAAGCATAACCCCATGCAAGGGGTGTAACACACAGCATGCAATGTCCTCTCCCAGGATCCTCCCTGTTCCCGGGAACCCGGGAAGATACGAACAGGTGGGGAAATACACATAATATCAGACAGGCAACTCACGGACCAGCAGCGGTCCCGCCACAGCGGTAAAGGACAATCCTCAATTTATGCATTGCAGCACGTAGATGAAGTGATTTCAGATCACTTCATTCCAGCACTTGTGAATGGGAATCAACACTGGAGTAGAGCAGCCCGCAGCTTCTAATGCAGCTCCTGTCTTTGACGATACCTGGCCAGCCTGGTCCCCACTGGACCCCAGAGAAGCCACCCTTACTGCTAGATATACACAGAAATGCAGAATAACCCTCCCCTCATACAAATAATGCGAACAGCCCATACACAAACACAAACACACAATCCACACAAACGCAACACCACTAACAATCCACATACATGCACACAACCCCACAATCAGCCTCTCACATGCAATACCCCAAACAGCCCCTCACATACACACAATGTGACATATCCATCCACACACACAATTCCACAAGCAGCCCTCATACACAGCCCACATGTATAGGTATCACACTCGATACCACAAACTACTAATGAACATATACAATATAATAGTATAATAGCTCATATACTCACAAAAACAAAGATACAAAGCAACTGTAGCGCCTATAAATAACACAAGCAGAATAGGACCGGCACACTACAAGACATCAAAATCTTATTTCGGCACAGTGCTGCTAAAAGGTTATCTACCCCTGCACTAGTACATCACCTCCACTTCATGGGGTTATTCACAAAAGTATAATTGGGAATTCACAACGGCACTTTCGTCAAATTTGCAAAGTCTCCCGATGGTGATATTGCCACAGGGGGTCCAGTGGACATGGGGGTCGGTAAAGATAGGATTTACTTACCTGAACCTGTCCCTAGTGACCATCGTGAGAGCTGACATTACTGCTGTACACAGCCAATTCTGTAGGAGTTGACTCTTGGACTCCGTCCTGAGTCCAAGATGGTCAGGCGAAGGAGAAATATAGAGGCAAAGGAGTCCCTACTTTGTCTCTTTATTTCTTGACTGGGCCAGAATCTCGGGGGGGGAGGGGAGGGGAGGTGACAGAGCCACTTTAAAGTGAATTTCAAACATTAGGCTGAAATTGCAGATTGTGAAACCGCTGAAATTGACTATTTCTCCCAAAAACGTGAAATCCATTTTGAATTTACAATTTGAAGGACAACTAAATACAACCAGATCACTTCATCTCCGTGAAGTAGTATAGTACAGTGAGCTTATGTTTTTAACAATAATAGCTGGCATTCAGTTGAAAATTAAACGTTCTCTTGAATTTTCTCTGCCTGCTGCATATTAATGAAAGACTCTGGTCTCCAACACAAATTAAAGGGACACTATAGTAACCAAAACAACTTTAGTTTAATGAAGCCATTTTGGTGTATAGAACATGCCCCTGCAGTCTCACTGCTCAATTCTCTGCCATTTAGGAGTTAAATCACTTTTGTTTCTGTTTATGCAGCCCTTGGCTGTGACTCACAGAGTCTGCATGAAAACAAATTGGTTTCGTTTTCAATCAGATGTAACTTACTTTAAAAGTTATTTATCTCCTGCTCTGTAAATTGAACTTTAATTACATGCAGGAGGCTCCTGCAGGTTCTATCAATCTATTAACAGGAGCAGGAGATTAGAAATTATAAAGTAAAGGGAAACTATAGTGACAGGAAAACAAACTAGTTTTCCTGGCACTATAGCTTCCCCCTCTGTCAAGGCCCCTTCCCGGGGCACTAAAGGGGCTAATAACTCCTTCAGTCACTTACCTTGTTCTAGCGCTGATGTCCCTCGGCGCTGGCTCAGCTCTGCCCACTCTCCTCCCCCGCCAGCGGGCGAGACCTAATCATGCTCGCATTAGGATCTCCCCATAAGAAAAGCATTATTCACCGCTTTCCTATAGGGAAAATATGACACTTGAGGTCCTCATGCAGAGTGTGAGGACGTCCAGTGTCAGATAACGAACCAAAAGTCTGTTTCAATTCCGGAAGTCTGGTAGACAGCCACTAGAGGAGGAGTTAACCGTCCGAGGTAATTATTGCAGTTTATAAAAACTACAATAATTACCACTGCAGGGTTAAGGGGGATGGGAGTTTACACCCAGACCACTTCAATGAGCTGAGGTGGTCTGGGTGCCTACAGTGTCCCTTTAAATATAATTTGCAATAAAGGAAGTATAAATATTAGATGACTCTTTACAGGAAGTTTTTAGGAAGGCTGTGTAAGTCACATGCAGGGAGGTGTGACTAAGGCTGCATAAACACAATGATTTAACTCTTAAATGGCAGAGAATTGAGATGTGAGACTGCAAGGGCATGATCTATATACTCAAACTGCTTCATCAAGCTAAAGTTGTTTTGGTGCTTATAGTGTCCCTTTAAGCCACTCTTCCTCTTTTCCCCAGCAAGTAAATAAGAGATCAGTGTAAACAATGTGGACTTTACCACACTTTCAGGTTCTTTCCCAGGTCTCCAACTTCGCCAAAGAATACTCTCTCAGTCCCCATAAGGTATCATGCAAACATGTTTCTAAGTGTGTTTGAAGCCAACCGAAGCAATACTGGGCCATATTTGGCCATATACAAGCATATAAGCAGCGCTCTGTGCATGAGGGGGGGCTGCCCTGATTGGCTGACATGTTTGGCACAAGTCAACCTGGCACCACAGTCACTGCACTGATGCAAATTAACCCCATAAGGACACAACTTCTTGAATAAAAGGGAATCATGAAGGAATATTTCCGTCATGCGTCCTTAAGGGGTTAACTTATTTTACAACACCATCTTCCTGGTGCTGTAAGGCCTGGTATCTGTCTTGGTCAGAGTACATGATTATTGGGAGATCTTTAACCATTTTTAGTTATGTTGCCGTTTTAGTAACACAGAGGAGAACACTGCAATGCTGTGGCCCTCACATATCCATTTGTCATATGTTCAGGCAGACTATGGTAGGTAAACATAGTACGTGGCTAGTGGGACCTTACACCTAATCCTACTATTTCTAAAGAAAGGTCGTTTTATGTACCGAAATTCTATATGAAAAAAGGTATATCCTTCTAGTCAACTAACTTTGACTAAAGGGTTTTAACCCCTTTAGCCCAAGAATTAAACCTTAAAGTTGCAGCCAACACCAATTGCAACTCCACCCAGGCAACAACTAGCTTCTAAAAGTTCAGTTTCTGGAAGCGCGGAGTGCCACCGGGCAGGGAAGCTGGAGGCTCACATTGGGGTTAAACCATTTGAGAACAGTTTAACCCCTTCATTTAGATTAAGTTTTTATGGTGCCCAAACTAACCCTTTAAGTTTTTATTCCTGTTATAATTTGAGTCATATACTCAATAAAATAAAACTAAAAACAGTATTTGGGGCAAAAACTAAAATGAAAAGGAAAATAAACATTTAAAACAAGTTTCAATTTGTAACGCTCCATATTGTGTCCCTTTAAGTGTTCCGATAATGTTACAGTATTACTATATAACTTGCTTGTTAATATTGAAATAGCATTTGTATTATCATTTTAATTCCTATTTAGGTCCATAAGGGTTATTCATTAAACAGCGAATAGTTTTGATCTGAAATCAGAATTGCAAAATTCATTCTAAAATACACAAACTGTGACTGCAGATAATCAAACATTATTTTATTTTTCCAAATCAACTATTTTGCCTCTGAATGTTCTAATGTGTTATATAATTTGCTGTAATTCACTGATTAATGAATATGGGAATAGCCCCCCATCCTGCCCCCCCCCCCCACCCCCCTACCCCCTTCCTCTCCCACCTTCCCTATGTCACTCATATCTCCTACTCAGCAAGGGAGAGGGAAGTACAGAGTAACAGATTTTAAATAACACCCTTCTTACTGCC